AAGAGATGCCAAGACATATGGGAAGTGGGTGGAGACTGGTGAAACTCTGCCCCCTAGGTTTATTGCCAAAAGCACTATGTGGGATACATTTTATAAAGTGTTTGAGACAGGTATGCATTACTTTAATATAGCCAACTTTATAGAAAACTTCCCACTAAAATTTTATCAATTTTGACAGAGTTTTCTTTCTTGTTGTCATTTTTCATCATGGCCAAGCCAGTTTGCCCATTCTCATGAGGGGATGGAGTGTAGAGCCAGTGTTAGGCCCTTAAAAGTGCTCTAGGCCCAGAGGTTCCTATTTTCAGCAGTGTTTGTTCCCAGTGCTGGATCTTGGACCCAGGGCCTCATACATTCTTGGCAGGTACTCTACCAATACTTATTTTTCAATATGTTTGGTTTTGTTGTTGTTGTTGTTGTTGTTGTTGATGTTTGTTTTGTTTTTTGAAAAAGATACTGATTAAATCTTGCTTTTAAAGATTAAAGGGAAAGCCTATGCCATACGTCCAGGCCATTCTCTCAAAGTTTACAAAGTAGAATAATTTTTCTTGAACACTATACATTTCTGGTGAATACTTGTAAAAATCTCCTGTGGGTGAGGACAGTGGCATCACTCATTCATTGTGTTGTTGCTGGAGCACCCTGGAGCTGAAACAAGCATTTGCCTGGTGTCCTCTGAGAGAAGATGTGCTTGTAGCATAGTTTGTGTGTGTGAGTGCCCAGGTCTGGAGAACATGAAACAGAAAATAGGGACTGATGGAGAGATGAGAGCATCTCAAAGGAAAAGAAAAGGCCACAAGGAGCAGCAGCCTGTCTTCCCTAAAGACTTTGTGGTATCCTGAGATGTAGTCCAGGCTATGCTGGGAAAAAAAAATGTTCCAGTGTCTGATGTCTGGTCTTTATTTTTAAACTCTGCAGGTGAGGGAAAGGTGCAGGAAGACAGACAGAGCTGTTGATTTGCGAAAGTGTTGATAAGTTGTAAAGCTGAGTGAAGGCTTATTTTTTTGCTGTACTTTTGGATATACTTGTTAAATTTCTGAAACTAAGGGTTGTAAAAAAGTTTAAAAGAAGAAAGAATGAAATTGAATGTAGAAATGTCTCCTGGTGGAGGTGGTCAGACTTTAGGCCTCTGGAGTTTTTCAGGCACCTGACAGCTTTCTTTTCTTTGGAGGGTGGGGGCAAAATGATGAAGAGTAGGAGTGCATAGGTCACAGGGCGCTTGGTTTCCATCCCAGAATTCAAGGCTGGCCCCTCCCACTGCAGGCTTCCCTCGCTGTGGTGAAGATCCCGTCGAGCACCGGTTCTGTGTAGCTCCTGTGTGCGTTCTTCTTACAAACAGTGCTCCCCGAAGGAAAACAAGGCACTGAAGATTTCTTCAGTTGCAGCATGGAATGTGTTCCTTTCACACTGGGAGCAGAAAGGAGTCCCTAGGGCGTTCCTGGGAGGGCAGCCTTCTTCCTGACATTTGAACCTCAGCCAAGTCCCCTAGACTACCGGTTGCAGCACAGTTAGTTCCATTCAGCAAAACTAAATTGTAAACTTGTTGACATTTTTGTCCTCTTTACAATTCATTGTTTATTTTTCCATGACAGAGAATTTTGATGCAATTATCAGCGAGCTTTCTGACAAAAGGGAAGTAGCTGAAGAATTTTGATGAGTTACCCACTTCATTAATCAGAACAAGCATCTCTAGTGACAGGGTTAGAATTACAATGAAGATTAGATAGCAAATTGCTGTTCCACCTAGTGTCAATCATCCGCAGTGACAGCAGTGTGATTACACATCAGGGAAGAGCTGCTCTTGCCAACAGAACGAGGGCAACTCCAGTGCAGGTAATAAATTTAGCAGGGTGGGCTGTCATTTCTTCTCTTGAGTGGAATCCTTAAAAACCAAATGCTGTCTTGTGGAAGATTTTAAGGGGGAGACAGCATTTCACTTTAAAACTTCCTCTCACATTGTAGTATTGTATTTGAACAATTATTATAGATGCACACTTAGGTACAGCTCATCCCCAGTCATTTTCCCTGGTTCATTTACCATACCAAGCATATCACTGCAGCTTGATAAAGAGATGGTAGAAGCTAGGGGAGAATGCGTGATTACATTTGGAAACCATCAGCAAGAAAAATCAGATACAGAAATGAATGCAGTAAGAAAGAAAGACAGAGAGGCCATGCTGGTTCCATGGCTAGGTAAACGTTGGAATTCTCCTGGCTTAAACAGAATGCACTCCTCTTCCAACTCAAGTGTGCTTTTTAATAGCTCTTGTTACAAAGAGTAAAGGGCTAGAGCACCACTGTCGTTCTAGACTAGTGGTTCTCAGCATGTGGGTGAAGACCCCTTTGAGGGTGGCATATCAGATATTTACATTACAATCCATAGCAGTAGCAAACTTACAGTTATGAAGTAGCAGCAATAATTTTATGGTTGGGGGTCACTACAACATGAGGAGCCATATTAAAGGGTTGCAGGATTAGGAAGGTTGAGAACCACTGTTCTAGACTGAACTGATGAGGAGAAGCAGACAGTTTCCTGGGGCTACAGAGGGTGACCTTTAATCCTCATTGTCACCTTGCCTGGGCTTAGAATCACCTAGGAGACACACCTGGGAGGGAGTGTGCAGAGAGGTTTACGGGAAGAGGGAAGAGCCATCCCAGGGACTGTCCCAACCAAATCAAAGGGAGAAAGCCAGCTTAGATAGCATTTATCCCTCCCTGCCTCCTGACTGTGGGCACAATGTGCAACTGCCCCAAACTACAACTACTGCAAGACCTTTGTAGCTGTCACCCTTCCCCTGTCTTGATAGACTGTATACACCCTTGGACCTAGGGCCCAGATAGAGACCTTTGTGTCTGTCACCCTTCCCCTGCCTTGGTAGACTGTATACACCCTTGGACCTAGGGCCCAGATAGAGACCTTTGTGTCTGTCACCCTTCCCCTGCCTTGGTAGACTGTATACACCCTTGGACCTAGGGCCCAGATAGAGACCTTTGTGTCTGTCACCCTTCCCCTGCCTTGATAGACTGTATACACCCTTGGACCTAGGGCCCAGATAGAGACCTTTGTGTCTGTCATTCTTCCCCTGCCTTGATAGACTGTATACACCCTTGGACCTAGGGCCCAGATAGAGACCTTTGTGTCTGTCACCCTTCCCCTGCCTTGATAGATTGTATACACCCTTGGACCTAGGGCCCAGATAGAGACCTTTGTGTCTGTCACCCTTCCCCTGCCTTGGTAGACTGTATACACCCTTGGACCTAGGGCCCAGATAGAGACCTTTGTGTCTGTCGCCCTTCCCTTGCCTTGGTAGACTGTATACACCCTTGGACCTAGGGCCCAGATAGAGACCTTTGTGTCTGTCACCCTTCCCCTGCCTTGGTAGACTGTATACACCCTTGGACCTAGGGCCCAGATAGAGACCTTTGTGTCTGTCACCCTTCCCCTGCCTTGGTAGACTGTATACACCCTTGGATCCTGCCTCAAGTTCCTGCCTTGGCTTCCCTCAACGATGGACTGGAACTCGTAAGCCAAATAAGCCTTTCTTCCCCTAAGTTGCTCTCGTTCATGGCATTTATCACAGCAACAGAAAACAAGCTAGCACTGAGAAGCTTTTTGTGAAGCCAGTTCTCTCCTTTTGGGGAATCTAGAATGGAACTCGCCTTGTCCGGCTTACAGGATAAATGTCTACCAGCTGAGGCATCTCACTGGCCCCAGCCTTTTATTTCTCTCTCCTATTTCCCTATAACCTTCCAAAAGTAGAGATTGTTTCTTCAACAACTTTGTGAGAGTTCCCAAACGGAAGCACAGTGGCAAGTGTTTAGTAAATGTCGAAATAGCATCCCTTACGTATTTTTACAAGAAGAAGCTGTGAGTTAGGCTCAAGGCTTCGAAACCCGTCCTTCCCAGGAGAGCCGCTTCTTGGGACATTGCTTTCCAGTTGACCTCACACTTGGAGCTCCCGTCATGTTGGCATTCCCAGTTAAGGGTACCGTCCCCTTCTCTCGGGACTGCCACAGTCTCGTGGACATCGGAAAACTTGAGAGTCTGATAAAGTGTTGGGGGGTGCCTTGGCTGAAAGATGCAAAGCTTGCTCTGGAATACAGTGGAGGAGTACTCCAGTTGAGGAAGAGCTGGCCATAGGACTATCTGTGGGAAATAAGTGCTGAAGTAGGCAGAGAAGGGGCAGAAAAGAAAGACAGAGAGTTTAATCGGAAGAGATGGGAAAGTGTGACATAGTGCTGAGGCTAAGAGATGACAGTAGATTCATCAGATTGATCGAGAAAGAACAGAATGTTTTCATGAGGATAGAGTATATAGACGAGGAGTGAGTGGCAGTGGTTTTCTCCTTAGACCTGGATCATGAGTGAAGTACTCCCTGAGGACTTCGTTAGGGGTGGTGGACCTTGTCTAATTTGCTATTGGCTGCATAGGCACATGATGGCCTGGACAGCTCTAGGCCTTCTCCTCCAAACCCCAATAACATGATTAGTGGTAGCCCAGCGAGGCTTGTCATTTTTAGATGCCTTGTTTTCAAGGAACAGAGACCCCATTCTGTTCCCCTGAGAACTCCCATGTTCACTCATGAAGGACATGAGTAGTGCTCAAGACAGGATTGAACTAAAGGCTTACTATTTGAAGCTCAAGATAAAGCCTTGCGTGGCAGATCATGTTGGAATCAGCTCTCTCAAGCTTCTCAAGGCCTCTAGTTCATGTCTAAGATATGACCTGCTATCCCAGTTTACCACAGAACCAGTGCCCTGTGATGAGAATTAAGTATTTCAGTTTAAGTCATGGAACTGTGGGTACCTCTGATGCCTGACTTAAATATTTCTCATTCCTATAAGCATGAAAGAATTGAGCTTTGTTCCATTCCGTCAGAATCACAGGTAACAGATTTGTTCAGACAAGTGTGATGAGAAAATCCGAGGACAGGGCTGTCAATGTGGCATATTTCAAACACAAAAGCTGATTGGTGGTGATTTTCCAAATGTTTCCACTTCAGTGTCAAAAACGGTATTTCTCTGCCTGGCACAAGCTGATTCTGGATCATAGGATTAAGCTGGGGAAAGCTGGGACCCTGTCTGACTGGAAGCTTCAACTGAAGGTCCTGCGAGCCTGGAGAGACTATACACGATCCCAGAAGATGGAGCGGGAGACCCAAGCCTTGAAAAATGACCTTAGGGAAGAGAACAGGTACATTGCTTCAACCCTAGAAATCCTCCTGGTGTGCTTATCTAGGGCATCTTCCCTCTGAAGAGGCCGAAAATCAGCTCCAGAAACACTGTCCTCTACAATCAGCTAGGATACAGTGGTCTGTTCTCCTGTTTTACCCCAGCTAGAGAGACTTAACTGAAAATGAGAAGCAAAGCGGTTATCTGATTAAAATGTACCGATGAATCTCGTTCCCTTTCTGTAAAGGAAAGATTGGGCTTCCTTTGCTAGGGAACAGCACTGCACCTTGTACCATCTCACAGTTCTGAAGAGGGAGTTTGCTTCATATGCCAATAATTCTCATTGATAGAATTGCTGTCTGCACATAGAATGTTAATTAAGGACGCAGGGAACATCCATCTGGGAGGGCCAACCTGCCAAGAGTGATTCCTCCCACACTGCTGTCTTTTGTTCCACACCTTATTTAGAGGGTTCTGACGCTTTTAGATCAAGTCCCTCTTTGCTGGTGCTGTGTCACACAGAATTTATTGTCAAATAAAGCTTCTTTTATCTCATTATCTTAAAATGAAATACATTTTCTCTTTTCATTTCCAAGTTTAACTTAGCGTGTTGTTTTTGTGTGTTAATTTTGTTTTGTTGCTGATTAGTAGTGTTGGCTGTTGAACCCAGGGCTTTGCATATTTTACTACTGGGCTACAGACCCTCAGCCCATCACCTTTCTGTTCTAGAATCAATGTCATAGGAGCAGAAAGACCCATTATGTTCTTAAGTATAGTCACTACTGACGACTCTGTCATTCATTCAAGATGAAAAACTAAGTGAATGGTATGTGGAAGAGTTGTTACATTGAAAGGCATAGCTGTGCACCCCGATGATAGCATCAGACCCTGGAGGTTATGCAGGTGTTTGTCACACGAGGTTACATAGACATTTGGCCCTTGGTCCATTGTCCTCAAAGAACTCAGTTATGCGAGAAAAACAGTATCTGGAGACAGTACAGGTGTTCAGCATATTGTACAGTGAGTTCCCTTCTGCTGCTAGGAACACAACAGAGTGAAATGTCACTGGTCTGGTAGGTGCCTCAGATTGTGTAAAGCAGGCTTCATCAGAGGAAAGTGTAGCCATCTGGTTTGGCTGGAGATAAACATGTGGCCTTCTGATCCCTGAGCCTCTCCAGCCCCCATGAAAAGCTTTATATACCAGGACAAGGGGTTTAGGTATTAGTTGGTTATAAGGTGCATTTCTAAAGCCTTTCTTTTGTACCATACAGTGGGGACATCTTTAGTGGAAAGGGCTACTGGAGAAAACTCTCCTTTGATCTGTTTCCAGAATTCCAGGACCTCATGATTGCTGTAAGGAACTGGGATGGCAGCCTACTGGAAAACTGAATGATGGGGGTTTGCTGGGTAAAGAATGCGAGCTGGAGACAGCGTAAGGGCATAGAGTGGAAAGTGAATGTTCAAGCCGCCTGTAAGACTTGCATGCCAGAAGAAACTTGTAGAAGAAAAATCTGGAGAACTCAGGATTCCATTCCAATTAAACAGTTTAAATTTAAAGGCACTAAATGGAGATTTCATAATAGTATAATGTGCCAATTTTTTTTAAGATCTCAGAACTTTTAGTCTAGTATCTGAATTATTTTCAGGTGTCTATTTTTAAATGTTCAGAATGGGTACTAAATTTTTTTTAACCGCTGAAGTTAGAAAATATTGAACTTATAATACTTTTTACTATAAAGCATTAGAACAAAACACAGCCTCGAGCAGGATGGCATCTTAGGATGTCTGACCCAGCCCCTGGCGTCAGGGAGGGGGACGAGAAAGCCCTGAGAGAAGAAGTGAGTCACAAAGCCGGTGGAGCGAGTGTGGGCCGAGAGCCTTGTCCTGGGGTGCCCCTGCCAGACAGTGCTGCCTCCGCTCAGGACCAGCAGCGTCTTGGTTGGGGTTCCCAGGCTAGCCATGGGTCTGCTGTGTTGCAGTTTGCTTTAGACTGCGATAGGAAAACTAAGGCGGGGACTAACAGATGTCAGGTCATCCGAGAAAGGAGTGAGACGGAGGAGCTCAGACCCTTCCGAGTCCCCAGCTCTCTGCGTGTTGACTATTGTCCTAGAAACTGTTTTAGGGAATTCAGACCCTGGACCATCTTCATCATGCCCAGCGAGGTTTCTCTGCGTTGCCTCGGTGGACACTGACTAGAGTGGTGAATGAGCCAGGTAGTGAAGGGAGGTTCGGGTGCTTCCTTCCCTGCAGTTGAACTGGAGGTTTCATGCTCCAGTGAGCGCCATGGCTGGGTGAGAGCCAGTGGTAGAGGGGCTCCCCACAGGGGGTGACAGGACACGGGTGATGCTGTGGCTCATCGCGTCTGCTGTGGATGCTGTTGAAACCGCTTGTCTGTTACTCAGCTGTGAGCTGAAGCCACATCTCCAGTTTCTGCACCCACTGAGGTTTCTCCTCAGGGTCTGCTCCCCTACAGGGCCCAGCCTTGTGGGCTTTCTTCTGTTCTTCCCATTCACCCTCTAAAGCAGCAACAAATCCCTCTGTTCTTATTCATAATTTCGGAACCTCCTTGACTTTCTGTGCACAGCCTCACCTCCACTCCAAGGGTTCATCCGCTTATTCTACAAATGTATCTTGCTTTCTCTAGTAGGAATTGTGGTCATTCTATTTCCATCCATCTCTTTTCTTTCAGAAGTAGTGATTATGTTGGATGTGATGGTGCATGCCTGTAATCATAGAATTTGGGAGGAGAAGGTGAGGTGATGAGGAATTGGAGGTCATCCTTAGCACATAGCCAGTCTGAGGCCAACCTGGGTTACATGAGACCTAGTCTCAAAAAAAAATAAAATAAAATGAAAAAAAAAGGTTATTGTGACTGATGGTTTTACTAAATTTTAATATAATATCATACTATAATTTCAGCATAACAAACATTTCCAGTTTCATTTGCTTAGGTAATGCCATAAACTATTCACACCTTTGGTGTGGTGGTATCGAAATCTTAACAGTGTCAATTTCCTTAGCATTTCACTTTCACAGGTTGGTTCCATATCTATTATTCTCCTCTCCCTTCTTCCTTGAATTTATAGGCAGCTCTACAGGAAAATGGGAACAAGCAGGGTTCAATTTCAGGATCGTCTGCTGGCCTTTCTTGAGTTCTCTTCCCTGCCTCCTCTGGACTTCCTTGGGAAGTACCTGCCCCAGGCTGTACCAACCACCTTCCACATGTCCTGGGCTGCCATCCGCAGTCCCCTGGCCCTGCCTAGAACATGCCTTGATCTCTCCCTGTCATTTTTCAAGCCCCCCACTTCTTTGTGCCTGTAGTCCCTGATTGTCCCTAATTCTTCATTTCTAACACTTCTGAGTTCAGCCTTCTGCGGGGAATCAAATACAGAGCACTTCTTTTAATCATGTTCAGTCACCTCCCCCTCTGTGCTCACCTAGCTCCCAGGTGAGTGGCCAGAAGCCACGTGGCATATGCATCCGGTGAAGCCCCTAATAAGATCTGTCAGAGGACCAGACTTGCACTGCCTGGCTCACTTTAAAAACTCCTTTAAACAAAATTGTCTTCTATTCCCTGTTTCCCTGGGGGCTACCTGGTGCATTTTGGAATGCATTAGCTTGCTCTTTCCTATTCCTGCTGAACCTGCTCGTCCCAAATGCAGCTGACCCTGTCACTGCTGTGATCATGTTCTGCGTCAGGTTTCGGCACTTTAGCCAGATCACCAGTGTGTGGTTATTTATCCCCTCTCATCCCTTTTGAAAAATTCAAGACACAGGGCCAGTGAAATGGCTCAGACGATAAAGACACCTGCCATCAAGCCTGATGACCTGAGTTCCATCCCCAGAAGCCACATGGTGGAAGGCGAGAACCGACTCCTGCAAGTTGTCCTCTGACCTCCACACATCCACCATGTGAGCCCCCACCCAAAAAGAATGTAAACATTAAGACATGGTTTAGACATCCAATAGTCTTGCTGTAAGATAGCATTAATACTTTATTATAGATTTCATTCTATATTTTTAGATTTTGTTTTATTTATTTAAGGTAACAACAGAAAAAAAAAAACATTTGAAGACTAGGCAGTGTAGAGTTCTCAGGACCATTTCTGAGGATGGATCTGCAGCTTAGAGACCATCAGCCACTTGCCCACTATCCCAGATTTCTCCTGACTTCAGGGTTCTAAATCCCACACCTCTCACTGAAAGCACTATTAGAGGTATTGATCCTGGGCAACTTGATTCACACTTGAGTTCCTATTTAAATCATTCCTGTTTTGTGTTCCTAAGCCTACAGAGGCAGCCTTTCTTTGCAGGCAGTTATGTAATTATGATGATCAATTTATACATTCTTGCTAGAAATGTTCTGATTTAGCTCACAAGCATATTGGTACAGGCTGTTTTCCATAAGGCACTCTGTCCTTCTTTATGGTTACTGGGAACTGTGGCTTGAGCCTTTTCTTCAGGTGAACTTAACTAAGTGATTGCATCTCACTAAGGTTTTATGAGATTGAGGTGATTTTACCCCCGTTTCAGAACTAGCTATATTTTTAGCAATCTTTTAAAAAGTATAGAAGTTGGTTCATATGGGACGTTGTCACTGTGCCAAAATGGAGTGCAGAGTGGCATGGAAACAGCCTCTCTGGTTTCAGTGTCTGTCTTCTGCCCTTCACCTTAACTGGCAAAGCCGGAAGTCCTAACTGCATTCCAGATCTCCTGGGCAGCCATCACCGAGGGCTCTCAGCACTGGAACAAACACGTCCTTCTTCTCATATTCCTACCTTCTTAGTCTTGATGGAGTTATAGAGATGGTTTTCTCTTTGTCTTTCGCAGCAGCTAAAGAACTGAACTGAAGGTCAGAAGCCCAGTCAGTGCTGCTTTGGGCTGTTTGTGCTGTGAAAATGATCTCAGCACACCAGGCACCTCCACACCTCTCCCTCTTGAGAAGATGGATGTAAATTGGATTTCACGTTAATCAGACTCAGCAACCAGCGTCCTCTGTCCTAAAATGTATGACTTTTCCTCACTGGAGAGAACGCTAGGCTTTTGTTTGTCTCCTTACTTAGCTTTGCCCCTTTTCTACTGCTTTCCCTGCTCCTTAACTTACTGCCTCTTCTAAAAATTGTATCAAGTCAGTCTCGTTAGATACTTAATTTACTTCCACTATAGTAAAAATACATACATATTTATTATGCCTTATAATATACTTTTATTATAGAAACTCTCTGCCAATCAGCCATCATCAACTTTATAATCAACCATTATGAAAATCAATTAAATATAATGATATATGCTGTTGGAAAATGTCCTGGTCACTTTTCTGCTGCTGTAGCAGAGTATCATAGGCCAAATGATTTATGAACAATAGAAGTTGATTTGGTTTCTAGTCCTGGGGACTTAGGAGCCCAGAGCATAGTACTAGTGTGACAAGGGCAGGCAAGCACACACTGGGCAGGTAGGAGCTGGGGCTCTCCCTTTTCATTGGTAACCCACCTCCAGGACAAGAGCATCGGTCTGTTCCTAGGGGCAGAGCCTTTGTGGCCTAATTAGCCGTTTTCACGTTTTGCCTGGCTGGTAAGCATATAACACCGAGCTACGATCTCTAGCTCCCTAGTCACCTGTCCAAGGCCCCACTTCTACAGATTGTTACAGTAGGAGTTCAGTCTGCACAGTTTTAGAAGGTATGCAGAAACCATGGCAGCTGAGGTACTCGTATATCGAGGCTAGATTAGAAGAGAAATTGCTGTGCATTTCTGGTAGGAAGGGGAAATACTATTTGGTGAAACTTTTGTTTCATTTAAGTTTGTAAACTTCTACATCAAGTTACATTTTTCACTGTAGGTAACTATCAGAGAAAGTCAGAAGTCATGTAAACATTTTTGAAAAACTATAGAAATGGGGACTGGAGAAATGACTCAGCAGTTAAAAGTACTTGATGTTCTTGCAAAGGACCTGGATTCAGTTTGGGGCACCCTCTTGTGGGGGTTCACAACCTTCTGTAACTGCAGTTCCAGAGGGATCTGACACCCTCTTCTGGCCTCTGTGGGTACTGCATGCATGCGTATGGTCTGAATATGTATTTACATGCAGGCAAAACAGTCATACACAAAAGTAAACAAATCTTTTTTTTAATCTCTAGAAATATTCTCCTTACTCACTGATTTAAATGGTTATGATTTTCTTGATAGAACCCCTGAGTGTATATATAATGTTTAATAGAGTTAAGCAAACAGTGCTATGGAGAACTCAGTTATGTTTGCAAGATAAAATCAAGAAAGCAAATAAGCGATATTGGATTTAAAGTCTCTAAATGGACGCCTGATGCCACATAATCAATAACAGAATAAATTCCAAGGTCACAGTGATAACTGCTCCCCAACAGATAGATGCAAGAAACCTCTAGGCTTGAGTCCCGAGCCTGTGTGGTGTGTTCGTGCAGATGTGATGTTCACATGTGGGCAGATAGAGGCCCAAAGTTGCATATGTGCTGATGTGATGTTCACATGTGTGCAGATGGAGGCCCAAGGTTGCATATGTGCAGATGTGATGTTCACATGTGTGCAGATGGAGGCCCAAGGTTGTGTCAGGTGTCTTATATTGCTCTTTACCTTATGTATTAAGTCATGGTCTCTTGCTGAAGTGGGTACTCTTCTAGTGTGGCTAGCCAGCTTGCTCTAAGGATTCTTTCTTTCCATTTCCTGTGTTTTGAGATTACAGACAGGCCACCACAGCTACCTGCTGTTAACATGGCCTCTGGGGATCGGAACTCCAGTCCACACATTTGTGTGGCAAATGCTTTACCTGCAGAGCCTTCTCCTCGAGGACTGAATTCTTGACCAACTTCCACCATGTCTCCTGGGGATGATTCCCATAGGGAAATCAATAATATCCACTCCCAGTTCAGCCAGCCAGGGTCACTAATGTTTATGAAGGTTCTGGGAGCCCAAAGGAGCTCTTTCTTAGGTGATGGATGAGCTCCCTGAGAGCTGGAGCCTGGCCTGTGCCTTCACGTGTGTCTAGTGCTTCGCTATCTCTTCACATCAGAGCCATTCATTCAGCTCAGGGCTTTGGGAAATGAGTCCTCTTCAGTGCTCCTCTCCCTGGGCAGGTCTGTAATGAGATCACCTTCAGGCCTTGACCTAGACTTTGAGAAGTCTTTTTTCTTGTTGTTTGTTTGTCTGTTTGGTTTTTGAGACAGGGTTTCTCTGTGTAACAGCCCTAGCTGTCTTGGAACTTGCTTTGTAGACCCAGCCGGCCTCAAACTCACAGAGATTGGCCTGCCTCTGCCTCCCAAGTGTTGGGATTAAAGGCGTTCGCCACCATCCTGTGTTAAGTCATAATTATTGGCACCATTGAGTGATGTGGCTAGGTTATTGAGTTTTCTCCTAACCTGCCTTAGATTTCCACCCCTGCCTGAATCTCTTTCCCTAATGCATTCTTCTTTTCAAAATAGTTACATGTGTATATAATATAAATTAATATGTCTTACTGGGACAGCTGCTTTTTCTTCTTAAAGGTGATGCTGAGGTGTTGATGCCTTTGATTAGAGTCTGCTCCAAGGAACATAAGTAATTCCATTTAGTTTACTATAACATGATAAGATGGAGCATCTCAGGAACTCCTTTGGCTTTATGTTTCATTTGTATTATGAGCTAATACTATAAAGGCTTCTTCTTCTTCTTTTTTTTTTTTTTTAATGGACGTACTTTGTCTCTTAGAAAACAAGAACTGGCGACTGAGTATAACCGGAATCAAGTTCTCCGTTACTGCTTTTCTGAATGGCAGCGTTGGCATGGTTCAGAAGTTAGGAAGAGAGAGCTGGCTCTAGCAAAGGAGCAAACTAGGAGGAAAATGGATGAGCTGCTGAAGGCAGCCTCCCTTGGGAAACTCAGGTCAAATGGGTCATCAGGAATCCGTCTTCTTGCCGAGACGACAGCCACAGCAGACCCGCCGTTAGAAAGTGGAAAGGTACATTGTTCCCTTTGTTTGGGCTTCGTGTTTATTATGGGTTTGCATCTGAGCTTTGCCCCTTTATAGCAGCTGAAGTCAGAGTGCCTTGTCTCGGCCATGCAAAGGTTAGGGCTGCTACAGTGCACAGAGGTTACCACTCAGCACTCAGGCTGTGGTTATTTCCTTAACCGAATATATTGTTTTTAATAGTCATACGTCAATGTTGGGCTAGCCGGCAGTTGGTAAGGACATGATGCAGAAGGATTCATAACAGCTAAGTGAAAGGCCCGTGGAAAGAGATGGGTCAAGCTTGCTGACAACTCTTGAGCCCCTGTGATCTTCACATGTTTCCTGTTTGGATAAGCTTGTGATATAATGTACTCTTAAGTTGTTTTGTTTTTTTTTCTGATAAGAAAAGTTGTTCATACTAATTGTGACCATTTGGTAGGAGAAAAATTGCCAAGAATTTAATTAAAAAAAAAAAGTCAGTGGTAATGGTGTATATCTGTAATTGCAATCTCCAAGTCAGCCTGCGCTGTTTAGTGAGTTCAAGGCCAGTCTCAATAAACAACCAAGTCTATAATTTCATTATCTGGAGGTAACATGGAAGTATAGTTATCTATTCTTTTCTCTACTGAGGCATATATAAATTTGTTATTGTTAATATTTTATTTAGCTTTAAATTTCCCTTAACCAGGTCACTGAAGAAATCTAGCCTGCCATAAGCAGGAAAAGGAAGGCTTGTTGGTTTTTTGTTTGTTTGTTTGTTTTTTCTAAATGTATTTATTTTTATTTTATGTGCATTGATGTTTTGCTTGTATGTATTGTCTGTGTAAGTGTGTCAGATCTTGGAGTTACAGACAGTTGTGAGCTGCCATGTGGGTGCTAGGAATTGACCCTGGGTCCATTTGGAAGAACAGCCAGAGCTCTTAACCACTGAGCCATCTCTCCAGCCCCTCTTTGCTTGTTTCTGAGTCCTGGTCACATATAGTACAAGCTGGCCTAAAATACACACAGTAGCAAAAGTTGGCCTTGAACTCCTGACCCTCCTGCCCCCACTTCCCAAGTGTTGGGATTATGCAAGAGTATTCTGTGGGGTTTGTCTGGTTAGTTGTTTGTTTGTTTTTTAATATGAATGTAACTTTTATTTTCCTATAAACATCTTCAATTTTCTAAATAGAACATGGACATTTTTATGTTATTAATATACCTTAGCCATAATTCTTCATTAAAAGTATCTCTCAGAGCTAGACCTGCTAATCAGAATTTCTGGAAATGGAGTACCAGTAATTTTAGTTCTGCAGGTGAACTGAATACCTACCCTAGTTATGGACTACAGTTCTCTGCTATTGCTTTATAATGCCTACATGACATTAGGTGAATTTAACTCACAGATGGCTGAAATTTAAGTTGTCACTATTTCAACAATGTTTCACTCAACATCCCACTAGTAACTAAGTCTTGGCATGTATACATAATGCTTTCCTTAGGGTAAATATTTTCAGACAGAATGCATGTTCTGTTTTTATCTTATTGTTTCTTTATCATTTGCATTTTTATTGCTAGTGAAGTTAAGCATTTTTATATTGCCTATTATACATATAGATATGGATATAGACGTATGGCATAAGTAAGTCGCCTGTTAGTACCTTTGTTCATTTTTCTACTTGTGTATGTACCTCTTTATTTACAGGAGTTCTTTATACTTTTAGGAATACTGATACGTACATGATTATGTGTGATGCAGACCTTTTGTCCACTTGGTCTTCTGCCTTTTTGGTTTGGTTTGGAGTTTGGTGCTGTGCCCAGCTGTTCATTTTTATGAGGTCACTCCTGACAGGCTTTCTCCCTTGTTGCACTTGTCTTGTTAGAAAGCCTTAGGAGAAGATCTTCTGCCTCCACCCTGCTCAAAGTGCTGTTCAGGACTTAACTCAGACACATAAAATTAAATTGGGTACCTGAGGGTCTCAGCCTTGCTTTATACCCTGATTACTGCAAGCAAGCAGGCTGGCTTTCATTTAAGCATACTTTCAGCAAAGAAGGCTCCTAAGAATGCTTACTGGGGCTTATGCAATATTCTAGGCCCTTCCCCAGGCATTTTATCTACCTTTATATCAGCTAGATAATTTTGTCTCTATTGAGACCAGAAAAGATTTATATCTTACTAAGTTCTACTGTTCTTATCTTTAAATGAAAAAAGTCAGCAAAAATACTTTTCCTGTGTAAAAAAAAAATACTGTATAATATACATACATATATATACATACACACACACACACACACACACACACACACACACACACACACACACAAACATATATTTCAGAAGAAGCTTCCAAGTATCTAAACTGAAGAAGAAAAAGTTTGATCAAGCCAATAATTTTGTGGAAAAAACAGAACAAAGGAAAACAAGGGACTAAAATAGACCTTATGGTTCACAAAATAAACTCCATTCTTTCTGGAATGTACAGTAAAACATGAACAGATGAAGTGCCTTGAAAGATTTCAGAATGATCATTAGCTAGTAGGTAATTTCCTCTGCATAGAGCAGACTGTGCAGCTCTTTCCAGTGAGCACAAACTGCACCATGAAGCTTTTGTCTCCTTCTCCTGTTGTTACCTTCAGAAGTTACCATGATCCCAAAGCAACCTTGTTGCTGTACTCAAGGCTTTTATGCAGTCTTGCTGGGTTAATAAGGGGTCGTTACCACAAGGTTTAAAAGCACCTAAAACATCTACCCTGCTTGATGCTAAATTACATAAGCAGGTGTTCTCATGAATAAATGTCCACTGACATTTCTAAACTGAAAGGTTATTTTTTAAAGTCTTTAACATGTCAGAGTTTCCATGTATCACATCTCTCACTTCAGCTAAGTCTTAGAAAGCATTTCCATCAGCATGAACAATACTTTTGAGTCCCTGAGGATGGTACCCTGGTAGTGCTGAAGGCGTCTAACATAGGACAGCTTACGGCTTTTCCTGCTTATGCCATTGCACATGGCAGAATTAGCAGCTGCTCAAATCATGGACTCAAACATTCTAACCTGACACAAATTTTGGCCAGAGTAAGTTTTGCTGTTAGGAATGATTTTTTCCTTCCCCCTGGATAACGTCACTGAGTATGAATCCTGTCAATAAATGAAGTTTACATCTTTGAAAGGTATGACATTGTATGCTAATACAATTTTACATTAAGTTGTTCTTATGTAGTGCAGATATTTGCATAGCCCTGGCTTTCCAAAAACTTCCCAAAACAGAGAGTTCGGGAAGAGCTGGAGATTAGTCTCTAAACCAGACCTCGGGTTGAAATCTGTACTCTATTTAAGGATGAGTTTAGTAGAGACGGAACAGGCCTTAAGAACAGATCTTAAGAAATGGCTAAAAGGAACCTTTTTTCTTACCAAGTTCTTACTGTTGTTACCTTTAAATAAAAGAAGTCAACAAAAAGTATTTTACCTGTGCAAAACAAAAAATTACTATATGACATACATACATACATATATACATACATACATACGTTTAGACTTAAGAAAAAGCCTCCAAATGTCTGAAGTGAAGAAGAAAGTTTCCAAACATTCTTGAGGAAAAAACATATCTCATGTCACAAAATGTTCAGATTTCTACAAATTTTAGGGTCAATTTTACATTTAAAAAGTTTTATAATGTAAGAAATAAACTTGTCTAGTTACAAAATGAACTTGAGAAAATCATAAGAGAAGGTTGGGCATGTTGTGCACCCCTATAGTTCCAGCACTTTTGGCAAGAGGAAGCAGGAGGATCATTAGTTTGAGGCCAGCCTGAACTTCATGAAATACTCTCCCATAAAACCAAAAGAAGCCGTTCCTTCCAGCTCATTGCAGATGTGTTGGCCCATGACAACAGCTCTCACAGCCCTGCCATGTCCCACTCACTCTTCATGGGGAGCCCAGTATACATCCTGAGTGGTTCACAGAGCTAAGCTGGTGGTGTCTGAGGTGCCTGGGCAGGGTCTGGAGATCAGGGCAACTAGCTGAGGTGTAGGCACTTGTGCCGCTGAACAGAACAAGAGTAATGAGACCAAGCCAGGATCTCAGCTGATCAGTATTGAGTTAGAATATTATTTTTTTCCTCAGGTCACCATCATGCCCACTTCATGGGAAAAGCCACCTATGCGGAGCAGTGGTTGTGTGCTCAGCCATTCCCCAGAAAGAACAACCAAGGGCAATTTTCAGGGTCCCCTCCCAGATGTCTCTGGGAGCACACCTGGGACAAAGCATTCCAAGACTCCAGATGCTGAGACCTCTGAACAGCCTGGTAGCCATGAAAAGCCTGGGACCACTAGCCAGGGAGCAGAGCCTGTTTGTGTGAGGCATTTCCACCATCGCCATGTCTACCAGCAACAGCTGATTGAGAGGCAAAAGAAGAAACTCGAGGAACAGCAAAAAACCATTCAAAAGCTGAAGGAAAACCAGCGGTTGGCGGAGGCCCGGTGGGCAGCTGAGCGTGCAGCAGCAGTCACAGAAGCACAGAGTCACCTTCTGTCCAATCCCAGAGGAGCAGAGGAGCCACAGGGAAGCTGCCAGAGGCCTCTGGAGTATGTCAGCAGCGTCAGAGCACTCTGTGAACGGGTTTGGAGGGGGCTCACCTTTGAGGAAGAGGCTGCTGAGTCTCTTGGCTTGGCTCCTACACTCCATGGGCTTTATGTGCTCTGTACACTCACAAAGCCAAGAAGCCCCGTGTATTCTGTCTTGCCCATAGAGGTGTACATAGATATTTAAAGCAAATGGCCGCCTAGATGGCCATTATATAGTGAGCACTGGGTGGTAGCTGCCTTTGTGAGAGGAACTTTGTAATAGTGTAGGGAAAGAGAAAAATGCTTGTTCTGACTGGATTTCTGAGTTTCTGATTATGTTTAATGCTGAGAAGCCAGGGTGGACAACATGGATCCCATGGACCGGGGTCATTACCTCGCTTGTTGTTCGAAGTAAAATTATTTACCTTCAGGCTTAGAATAGGAGTTCTAGATTCCCCCAAAGTCTCTTTAGACAGTTTCGGATGTGACTGAGACATACTTGGTGTGTGATGAAGGTTTAGGAGAACTGATCAGAAGACGAGGTGGGGTCTTCCTTATGCCGTCTTTAGTGTGGGGATAACAGTTCATCATTAACTCAGTTAAACTGAAGGAAGCTAATTATTGATTTAAACTGTTTTTCTTTTCGTTGTCTCTTCATTTTCTTCTAGTTCATCTGTTCTTTCCTCAAGGTGTGAAGATAGTAGAACTGAGTCCAGAAATTCTCTTTCTGCATCCAAAAGGAACCCGACAGCACCCCATCCGTTATTGAAAGGCAAGGCTGTCCTGATGGCCTTCATGCTGGCTGGAGTGGCATCTGTCTGGGACTGCCTGCTTATAGCTCTCAGGCTTTGAGATGTGGTAAAGCCTGGTGAAAACCTAAGATTTGTCACACGGGAGGAACGGAACACACAGGGGTCCTCCACGACTCTCTTTCTTCCCTTTTGCCAGCCCTTGTGCCTTCGCAGCTAACACATGCATGTATATGTGCACATGCACGTGTGCTTGTGCGCACGCACACACAAACACACACACACACACAGAGTTTTGAAAGGTGCATCAATTGGGGGGGGGGGGTGGAACTACACAATTGAAAAGCCTGAGTCGTGGCTAAGGCTAAACATTGATAATGTTCATCTGCCATTATACTCCATCACTGCCCAAATACTGAGGAGTTTATAACAATTCAGGTCAAGTTCGTCTGTCATTTTATGATGCATTATCTATTTTTTTAGTTTTTCGAGACAGGGTTTCTCTGTGTAGCTTTGCGCCTCTCTTGGGACTCACTTGGTAGACCAGGCTGGCCTCAAACTCACAGAGATCCACCTGGCTCTGCCTCCCGAGTGCTGGGATTAAAGGTGTGCACCACCACCGCCCGGCCATGATGCATTATCTTAAGAGTAGCATTTTGGTAATGAGGTGTACAACCAGATAGTTTAGTTTGATAGCATTTTAGATGCACATGGAACTGTTTATTTAAAAACTAAATAATGCTTTGAGAGTAGAGGCATTCCTCAGGGCCCACCTAGTGATTCTACTAATTGATTTTATCACATAGCTGCTCTGCTCACGTGTGTGTATATATGCACATGGTGGGGAGTATTTTGTCCATTACATTGAGTTTTGTAAATCTGAGTTTTGTTCTGTTTTTAAGCTGTGGCAAAATTGCCACCCTAGCAAGAAGTAATGACATGTGAAGACACTGTAGTCAGTGCCTGTCCATGAAGAGATCGGGTGTCTCTCTATCAGCCGTCTGGCAGGACAGCAGCCGATGCTGCCTTTGCCCACTGATCAGGAAATGTCCGGTTCATTGTGATAAGTTTTTGAAATTATTGTTTGATCAATGACTTAGCTATGTTAGCGTCCCGGTCTATTTTTCAAGTAGACTTTAATGATTCAATCTAGAAGCCATGGAGAGCCGTACTGCTGAGACGGCTTCCCCGCTCCTTCCTCTAATCCTCTGGTCTCTTTCGGCCTCCTTAAGGACAGTCTCCTCTGCCACGTGTGCCACCGCCACTAATCTTCTGTGGCAAAGCAGACACTTAATATCCGTAAGAAATAGCTTGGTGAGTTTATTAATTCTTAAAACTTGGACTGAAATTTTCTTCTCTGTAACTCGGCCCAAGGAACTGAAAGTCACCATTGGCTGGCTTCGTGAGCAGAACTCAATGCTCCTGCTGCCCATGCCCCCCTTCCTGTGCCAGCCCTGACTGATTACAGTCATATTATCAGACCATCTTGCACATTTGTTTCTTTTGGATCGATATTTAATAAACTGTCAAGAACAGGAGTCTGACACTCAAATTCGTTCTGATGCCAGTTCTCCAAATGCCTGGTTCACTTCCATTTCCTGCCCATCTGGGTGCCTGGGTCTTAAAACTACACTGAAATGTATTCACCGTGACCCCACCTTTAGCTTTTTCTGTTGTTCTACAGACACATGGACAGTGACTTCAGAAAAATCTGTAGCCTCACTTAAAGTGAGACTGAAGGGATTTTTCTACTCTTCAAGTACTTGTTAGCTGCAGTTGCATTTTTCTGTGTTCATCAACAATATATTAAAATTCTGACTTCTGAGTTTCATATACTAAAAGTCCACCATCCAAAAACATTGTCTTATTTAAACCAATAGAAATATATTATGAAGAAATATAAACAGGGCTGGAGGGATGGCTCAGAGGTTAAGAGCACCAACTGCTCTTCCAGAGGACCTGGGTACAATTCCCAGTACCTACATGGCAGCTCACAACTGTATGTAATGCCAGTTTCAGTGGGACCCGACAACCATGGCAAAAACACCAAAGTACATTAAAATAAATAAATTTTTTAAAATGAAAACTTTAAAAAAATATAAACAAAAACATAATGAGCATGTAAATTGTTCATCATTGCTGATGTTACATCTTTAACCTGTTGAGTTAAATAAGCTCCATGTGTCAAAATATTCAATTTATAAGAAAACGCTAATGATAATGCTAAACATGACTATAATATGGAGACATTTATTTTACAGAGGGCCTCATAATTTTTTTTTTATATTGGGACTATGTTACTATTTTTTAGCCATGGAAGAGAGAGCAATTCAACGAGCTGAACGTAGGCGGATCTTGGCAGAAAGGAAGAAAAAACAAGAAGAAGACAAATTGGTAATGAATTCAGAACGCAAACTGAGGCAAGCAAAGTGACTTGTTCAGATTGCACAGGCTGGAACCTTGCTTGTCCATGCCTCCTGAGACAGTCGAGTTAGAACAACTCGGAAAGGCTTCTGACCTACCCCTTTGAATTCAGTTTTAGGAAAATAAGGGAGGTTGTACTCAACAGCATTAGCAGAGCAGAAAGGAAATGTTACAAAAGTGAATGACAGCTAGCAGATTGGGAGGTTCACAGATAACCACAATTAGTCTACTGTAGATAGATAGATGTCTGACCCAATGACTTCCAAAGTTTGACCCACTGTCAGAAGCAAATTTTGCACCTACAAGAAAAAAATTAACAATTCTGTGTGCGGTGGGCTAACCAGATTTCACCACATCAGACTTCCTGTTTCACAAGTAAAAGTAAGAACTGAAAATAGTAATTTTAGCATGAAAGCAGAGTGGCCATATTCATATGCTGTGCCTCCTTCCCAGGCAAGAGAAGATCCTTTCAAAGACCCCTAAGTTACAGGGCATGTTGGTTGAGGCCTCCCCTCCTTTCATAAAATGCATTCATAGTCCAGGAGCAGGACTGGCATTTGGTAGATACTTGACTGCCCCACCACAAAAGATCTCCTTTCCCACTCAGAGGAAGGCTTCTGAGTTTTCTGTCTTATAATCTCATTCAGGCTCAGCTAAAGGCCCAAGAGGAAGAACGCCAGAAGAAGGATGCTGAAGAAAAGGAAGCTCAGCTTGAGAGAAAACGAGAGGAAAAGAGGCTGAAGAAGATGGTTAGTAGAGTCTTTTTTAGTAGCATATTTGGCCAGTTGCCTCTCTGTTGAGGCCCATTGCTAGTGATCTGGTGGCTCTCTCTACTCAGTATTGCATTGGCCATGGGTGTGCCGAGGGCATAGGATGCTCTCAGCAAATGTGGTGAATGAACACTTAGAAGAAAATATGCTTCAGAGTCACTTGGAAAGCAAGTCGTTAAATGATAGTTGAGAAGTCATGACCTTATCTTTTGGAGGAAATGTAGTGGAGGATTTGCTGTGTCAGATGCTGTACAGAACAGAGTCAAGAAGTCATATGAGGCAAAATCCACATAGATTTTGGAGACAGTAAAAGCATTTCCATCCTTTGCTAAATCAACATAAGAAATCTCTAAAAGCAGCTGTTTCTTCCCTTAAAAAACTGGTGAGATATTCTGAAACACATTTTCCCAACATGTGTTCTATTCCATGTCGTCCTAGTCACTCCTGAAATAGTAAGCAGTTTGGAGAAAGTGTAAATTCGGTAGTCAAATGGTTTTGGAAAATGCTGTTTAAGATAAGCAAGGTTCCTTAATTAGTTGACTCCCCAGAACTTTTGACATCCTACCAGACGTTATGAGTCTCCAGAAAAGAGACACAGTATGCCAAAGTCGACATCCATATCTGACTACAGACCATTTTTATAAAGCACCCTGTAACATATCATGGAACAATTTGAGGTCATACTACTATAAAGCAACAAAATAAATTTAAAAACATACAGTATAACAAATGTGTCTCTCATATCTGTTCACTGTAGAAAACTTGAGAAATACAAAGTAGAGAGAAAATATCTGCACTCGGCACTCAGAATTAACTCCTCTCTATTATAGGATCTTAGCATCTCTACACTGGGCCTTTTCCTCTCTGCATCTCTCTGTTACTAGATTGGCCATCGCCTGCCTGTAGGTCTAGGTAGCTGTAAACTTTTGTCTTTTTCTTTTTTAGGCTTTACCATGAGCATGTGCAGAGTTCTTCAGGGCTGCCTAATTTATATATACAATGACGTTCTTTACAGATCTTTGTTTGGGATTAATACAGAGTTACAGAAAAAATGTGAGGATGGTATTGTGCTGTGTGTCTTTTTCATCCAGTGCTACCCAGGATCACCATAAAGCATTGATTAGAAGTCAACATGAGCACATTACTGCAGACATTGTTTTTCCAAGAACATCCAGACTTACTTTGTTGTTGTCCTGTCCCCTTAGTGCCTGCCCTCTGGGCTGTGACCGTTTCTGTCTTTCCTCATTGCTCCTGACTTTTCTGAAGATTTTAGAAGTGTCCCTTCATTTGTGGTTGCTGTTTTTCTGACAATCACCCTGCACTAGTGGGTTTTTATGGTGACACTGGGTCCCTCTTAAACGCATGGCAACCTTGTACATGAGACCCAGATGAAGCATATCTGTTGATGTCTACTTGATGACTTGAGTTAGCCAGTGCCTAACAGGTTTCGTCACTGTAGTTTCTAGTTTTCCCTTGTCACACTTTATCCTCTGAAAGAGATTTGTTAAGTCCCAGTCTTCTCTCAAGGCAGGGAGAAGGAACAGTTCAGCTCCATACCCTAGCTGGAGGAGTATCTACAGTGAATACTGGGAACTCTGTACATAAAATTGGCCACTTCCTTCATTTATTTATTCAGTCATCATTTATATAACTATGGATTCTTGTATATTTATTTTGTACTTTGGACAATGAAAAATACTGTTATTAACTTTATTGTTTAAATTGTGGGTTTGGCTGGCTTTGGGAGCCCTTTGAGGCTGGCTCCTGGTTAGGTGTGCCCCTATCCTTCTCTGCTTTCTGAACACCTTACTCTCTGGAGTTTCTCATATTTTCACTGCCAAGCCCTAGAATCAGATACTTTTTGGAGATGCCTTAGTTCTACATGGTATCTGAAAAGAAGGTCTGGGCACTGAGTACTAAGTCACTGCTGGGACATTCCTGATTCTGGAATGTTGGAAGGCAGGGGTAGATGATATACACATACATATATAAACATATTAAGCTATGCATACACAACTGATTATAACCATTCCTACTTATACAATTAAAGTGGACTCATACTGATGTCTCCAGCTCTAATCCAGGACCAGAGGGTTCATTATAGCCATCCATCTTGTTTTCTTGCAAATGTCCTCTCTGACAATTTGAACCTTAACTTCCATCAATTCAAATGTATATGATTTGTTATAATGAGTTCAAGGTTAGCCTGGACTCTGTCTCAAAATCTGTTTCAGATCTGTTAATTCATTTGGGAGCTGTTAGGCTATTGGATGTTATATGTTTCCTGTGTTTCATCATATGTTGTCATCCTTGAGTATTCCTTATATATTCAATTCACTGAGAATTTATATTATAAATGGATATTGAGTTTTGTCTGTTTTTCTTCTACTGAGACAATCACAGAATTATTATTATTATTATTATTATTATTATTATTATTAAAAAATGGTGTATCACATTTATTGATGTGTATAGATTGAACTGTCCTTACATTCCTGGAATAAATTTCACTTACTTGTTGTATATGATACTTTTAATGTGATCTTGAACTTGGTTTGTTACTGTTTTATTGTGGATTTAAAGTGGTATTCATCGGGAATATATTTTCTATTCTTGTATCATCTTTGTTTGGCTTTGGTTCAGACTAAGGCTGGCCTCACAAAATGAGTTTGAAAATATTCTTTCCTCTCCAGCACTCTGGAAGAAAGTTGGTCGTAGTGTTTATCAGAACAGAAAGCAACCTAAGTATCTAATCTGGAATCTCTTCTAGCAAACGTTTTTCATATTTTTATGCTGTTAATATAAAAGTGAGATTGACATAATTGAATTAAGATATGCTGTCCCCAATCTGTGGTACTTGTCCTCCATTTCTCTCTTCTCTTCTCTGACTTTAATAAGCATGTTTATGATCCTACCTAATCTCCTCTACTATTTGTTTTCCTTTTAAGAATATTTTTAGTGTTGCCTCGTGTTTACTAATCTCCATCCACCTTCAAATCACAGACTTCCCAGATCATCTGAGAGCCTTCCATCCTTAGATTTCATTTCCTCTCTCCCATCAGGTTACTCCATCATATGTATTGTATTTTGTTTGTATCAGGCTGTACTCAGTGCCTTTCTGAACTGACTTACACACTTGTCTTTTAGTGGTATTAGTGATAGGATTATTGGATTTTGCCTTCAATCTCTAGTGTTCTTTGTTTCTTTGTACAGATCTAAACTCTTAGTCCGGGTCGCGTGTTTATGAACTGTAGCAGTTCTGTGGGGCCGGGCCCCTGGCGGCAGAGGCCTTCAGCGTCTAACCTGCTTCCTTCCTTCCAGACAACCTCAGTCCCTCGTGTCCTTACAGGCAGGGCCTTTGCTGTGGTACAGGTTCACGAGGAGGGAGAGAGCAGAGAGCTCTCTGGAATATCTGACGAGGTTGTCTACTCTTCACTGCTTCTTACACAGGTCATTTATGACACATCAGAGTTAGGGTTTCAGCATAAGGACTTCAGTCTGTAACAGTTGGCCTGAGGAGTCTCTTCCCTCTTCACGACTGTCTCGTTGTCACCCTCATGAGTATGACTTACCTAGATACGGTTTGTTTGTTAGGTTGCTTGCCTTGCTTAGTGGTCTTAAGCTTCTTCGATATATAGTTTTGTGTTTTATCACAAAATTTAGAACTACTTATACCCATTGTTCTTCAAATATTTCAGCTGCCTCTTCTTTTCATTCTCCTTCCAGGTTCCCAGTCATGCAAGTGTTAGGTTTCTCAACTGTACCAGTTTTTCACTCTCTTGTTACTTTGCAGTTACTATGACTTCCTTACTCTTATTTTCAAGTTGCCTGGTTCTTTCTTCAGCTATTTCATCTAGTAATGATGACATTGAAGGCCCTTCCCATTTCTGTTACCTCATTTTTAACGGCTGGCACTTTTGTTTTGGCCCTTATGGTTTTCTTTTTTTTTTTTTTTTTTTTTTTGGTTTTTTGAGACAGGGTTTCTCTGTGTAGCTTTGCGCCTTTCCTGGAACTCACTTGATAGCCCAGGCTGGCCTCGAACTCACAGAGATCCACCTGGCTCTGCCTCCCGAGTGCTGGGATTAAAGGCGTGCGCCACCACCACCGCCCGGCTGGCCTTTATGGTTTTCATGTCTGCTGCATTTACCTACCTGGCATTGGATGATGTCCACCTTTCCCGCTGGAGTGTCTAACATTGTTGTACATTGTTTAAAATATTAAAATATTTAAAATAGCTTCATCATCTTTGTCATATCTGTGTCTTGTTCTGATGGTTGTTTTATCTTTCCGTAAATTATCCTTATCTTTTGGTATATCATATATATTGTCATTGAAAGCCAGACATTTGCTTAGAGCAATAGAAATTGAAGTGTGTAGGACTTTAGTGTGAAGATTTGTGTTAATCTAGGCAGGAATTGGGCTTTGTTTGATGTTTATTGTTGCTGTGGTTACTACCATTGGCTTTTGTTGTTGCTATGGACACCAGAGGCTTCACTTTTTTAGTGACTTTGGCTTTGGGTCTTCACTTTGTGCTGCTCCGCAGAGGCCACGTCCTTTCCGGTTCCTCCAGTTTTGTAACACTGTTTGTAAGTAGGTGATGAGGCGCGCGTGTGTGTGTGTGTGTGTGTGTGTGTGTGTGTGTGTGTGTGTGTGTGTGTAAGCAGTCACTGCTCTGGTTACATTTCCGTCCCAGGCCGCCCAGCTCTGGCTCTGGAGTTTCCTTTCCTGCTGTGGAGGCTGACCTGTTTTCTCCTCACTTCCCTCCTTGCTCTGTGACTACAAGCCTTTCCCTGTAGCGGTTGGTTGGTGGGGAGGCATTGCATCTGGCAGACTTCCCAAAATGCCCTCCCGAGCCACAGTGTGGGCTTCCCCACTGTTCTCAGGTGGTACCTGAAGAGAGAGCTTTCATTCTCTGGGCTGGGCTGGAGAGATGGCTCAGCAGTTAAAAGCACTGACTGTTCTTCCAGAGGACCTGGGTTCAATTCCCAGCACCCACATGGCAGCTCACAACTGCCTGTAACTCCAGTTCCAGGGGATCCAACACCCTCACAGACATACATGCAGGCAAAGTACCAAAATAAAAGTAAATAAAGTTAAAAAAAAAAAAAAACAAAAAACAAGAATGCTCTGGCAGATTTTGGGCTGTTGCTCCTCTCTTCTCTCCTCTCTCCCAGCCAGACTGTTCAAGAAACCTCCTCTTGTGTCCTTATCATCTTTGTGAAAACATTTAGGGTTCATAGGGGAAAAGTTTGCAGAAGAGTGGGACCACTCTCACGAGCCTTACCCTTCTCACAGTAGTATACTTTCACCTCCCTCCCCAACCCCACCCCCACACCAAGCACTTCACCAAAATTTCTACTTTAGCAATTCAGTATCTGGTACTTTCTGCATTCTCAGGTAAACAGATGCTTCAATGCCTCCTAATAGTGCCTGTCTCTCCAGTTTGGGGGATGATTACATGCCTCAGATCAATTCACAAAAAAGACATTAGTTCTGTTCTCTGTCCGGCTTTCTTCTTGTTGGAAACAAAGTGCTTGAACAGACCAAAAATGATTGAAAGAACTATTACTGGCCAGGAGAGTGTTTTATCTCACTCTACCAAGCCCAACCCTTTCCTTTTTAGAAATGCCAGCCCATAGCAACAGACACAAAGCCTTTTCATGTAGACTGACTTCCATTCAGTTTGTAACCACCTACATTGGAGATCAGTGCATCTGCAGACTGGCTGTGACTGAGCCTTCCTTGAGAGTGATTGCAGCTCTAGAGTATGTGTGTCGGATGTCTCCTTTCCTTCTGTGTGAACATGCTGTGCACAGTGTGCTCGCCCACTCTGTTTGTCACATGGTCTTAATGCTTTTGAGGCATCATATTCTATATAAGCAGCTCCTGGCTTCCTTGTAGACTTCATATAGCTGACCCAGATACGCAGCCTCCAAGGCCATGGTAATGTTATTCCTATGGACAACAAAAACTTGGTGGCACTCCTGAACCAGTGCCTGCTACGACTTCTCTGTCAGTTGCATGTGGCTAGCTGTCTTTGAGGGAAATCTGGTTTAACTTCTAGTTGGCAGGGTTTTTTTTTTTCTCTTTGAATTTATCAGCAGACTGTCCAGTAGAGGTACCATATTTTCAAATTAGATAGATGAGTAACCCTACTATTGCTATGACAGATTGTCTCAGGGACAGTCACATATATTTCTCTGCATACCGAATATAAGATGAGCCCAGTTGTGTGTGGGGGGAAGGACATGTGCCTTAGTTTGGTTATCTATTGCTATGATAAAAGACCATGACCAAAAGCAGCTTGGGGAAGAAGCGGTTTGGCTCAGGGTTACAGACCATTACTAGGGAAGCCAAGGCAGGAGCTGAAGCAGAGATGATGGAGGGGTGCTGCTTACTGGCTGCTCCCCATGGCTTGCTCAGCCTGCTTCTTTATAGACCACCTAGGACCACTTGTCCGGGGTGGCACTGCCCACAGCCAGCTGGGCCCTCCCACGTCTGATTAAGACAGTGCCCCAGTGACTTGCCTAAGGACATCTCAGTTGAGGGTCCCTTCCCAGATAACTCTAGCTAGTGTCAAGCTGACAAAAGACCAATTAAGACAACATGCAATGCTAAGTTTTAGGACAAAGAAAGTCTTCAGGAAAAGACCGCAATAAAGTGGCCATCTGTATTCAGGAGGAAGGGGTATAAGGGTTGGGCATGGCTGCAGCTTCCTGTTTCTGTGGCCCTCATGGGAAGCTATGTCAAATAAGACAGTAAGAGTGCCATTCATGGGTCTTACAACATGACCTAGAAATGAAAACCTTCTCTTAGAGTCCCGTTGTTTTTTGTCAGATGCATATTTTGTAACACCATTTATCAAGCTTTTTTAATGGTTATATAAATACGCTTTTTTTTTTTTCAGGGTGGGAGTTGATGGCCACTTTGGAGCCTGCTCTGTAGACTAGGCTGGCCTTGAACTCAGAGATCCACCTGCCTCTGCCTCCCAAGTGCTGGAATTAAGGATGGGTACCACCACTCCCAGCTTATAAATATGCTTTCAACTACTGGGAAATTGACATCTGTTATTGAAAAACGTAATTTTATCAGAGAAAATGAAGTCTTCTGTGTTTAGGAAACACACTCGCTCATTGGGTAAATACCTGTGAGATATTTGCTTATGTGCTAGTCTTTGCTCTGGGTGTTGAAACAGAGCAGTAAGGACAGACATCATCCCTGCCTTTAGAAATCTCCTGTGCCAGTTTGGAAAAGAGGTAATGGGTCAACATCTAAAGAGGTGGACAGGGAAGAATAATGCGGGAAACAAGATGGGAGAACTGTTCTGAGCAGATGATATTTGAGCTGCTGGATACAGAGGAGGCCCCACGAGACACACATAGACGTGTCAGAGACCTGTTAGGCACACACAGCTGGATAGAGAAGTTTGCACATCAAGCTGGAAATACGGAACCTTTAAATTTCAAATATGTCAATGTTTTTAATGCTCTGGAAGTGACTAGACTCAACCTGGCAGGGGGTTGTCTGGACAGAGATGAGAGTTCGGGGCCACAGCCTAGGATGCATGAATATTTTCCCAGAGGATCCAGGAGAACTTACAATCACAACAGTGAGAGAAGTGTTTGCGTTAGGGGAGGAGGGCTGGTGGCCCAGTACAGTATGACTGGGCTCAGTTCTGAAGGAGACAAGTGGCTCTTTGACTTGGAAACATTGGCATCATTCATGGCCTGGACGAGAGTGCTTTCTGTGGCGACTTAGGGAAGGTGCCACTTTCCAGTGGATTGAGACTAGGTGAGGAATAGAGTGTACAATGAAATCCCATAGATCAAAGGGACTTTTTGTTGGTGGTTGTATTTTGGTTTTATTTGCTTTTATTTGTTTTCAATTGGCATATACCAGCATGTTTCTATTTTGATTTCCGTGATCCAGCATGAAGAAATTAGTGTTAGAACAGTGTTGAGTGCCCTGTACTCCCCTTAACATACTTGTGATCCTTGACCTTTCCCTCAAGACAAAGGGGCTGATACAGATGAACATTTAGATAAGATACTGGTTTTGTACATCATTTGTAATTATGCAAAATATAATTTAAATCAGAGAGAAACTCTTATTTAATGTTGCTTTGTAACCTGAGGGAACTCTGTGCTCTTTAAAACCCCACTGTGTAGATTCCTAATATAAATGCTTTCTCAAAACAAAATCATACCATGTCAGTGTCTCAGCAGAGTAGATACAGCTCAGCTGCCATTCACTTCCTATACAAAGAAGTACGTCCAAGCAGGTTCTTTAGCCTGAGCCCAAAGGCTTCTCCAAAGGGTGGAAATCAGGCTCTGATGTCTGTCTGCAAGCCTCCATTGATGCAGGGAAATTCCATGCATATGGAAACAACCGATTTCTGTTTCCCCATTTGTTCTGTACCCTCCTTTTACTACTCGTGAAGAAATGCTTTTCTACAGGTTTTATATCTGCCTCCCATTCAAGAAGGATCTTGAGTGTCTGAAATAAAGATTATAAAGGTAATTTTCATGTAATTTCCTAAAGAATGTGGACAATTCATTTTCAGGAACTTGCAGCTAGGTAATTGAATTGGAAGATGAGGACGCTCTCCCTTTCCTGTTCGAAATATTCTGATTCTGTTTCTTTCTCTCTTTCCCTCCCTTCCGCTCTCCCCTCTTCTTCTTGCAGAAGGCTCAGGCACACAAAGTAGCTTGTTGAATCAACCATTTCACCACTGTCCTTTTCCTGATACGAAATGAGAGAATGAAAAAAGAACTTGAGTGTTGTATTTCTGCCCGACAAATAAGCACTGAGGGCAGCCTGCAGTCTGCTTTTAAAGCAGTGCTTTGCTGTACTCACTCTAGTTCAGCAGACTTTTCTCTCCGACCTTTATTACAGGTTGTTTTTACTAGAAGACAAAATAAATACATAATGGTATTTGCAGGGTAGGCTGTTACATTTCTGTCATCTTTCTCAGGCACACCACTCACAAGTGTATGCCTTCTGTGAAAAGCACAAGGTGTCTTTTTTCTCAGGGAACCACAGGGGTAGTTAATCTTTCTGCTCAGGACAGAGGGCTGCGTGATGATGATAAATACTTTTAGCTTGTATCTGGACTTACTGTTGACTTAGGAAAGAAAAACAACTCAGTGGTAAGAATATTCTTCTAAGACTTTCAATAGGGTTGTCATTTGACTGACCATCATTATTTATATACAAGGCTCTACATTGTAACTCTAGTGGAGGTTTGCATTGCTGGATTTTCTGTAATAATAAGAAAAACTTCCTGATTTCTTTCTTGAGTAGATGTTTTGACTTTTTAGTAATGAGGGGAGTGGAGCTCATTTCTATGAACAATATTGAATAAACCTAAGAATACATAGCTCGGATTGATGTAGAGCTCATGACCACCTTTCGTGACCCTTTTAGCAAATCCTTTAAATATATATGTGTATACATATATATTTATATATATTCCAGAGTTCATTATAATTGGCACACTATTTAGTGGTTACATGGTAAATTCATTGACTTTTTGTTTAAATGAAGTTCTAAGGGTTTTTTTTTAATCATGGAATTTTTTTCCCCCCAGAAAGAACTAGAGAAACAGAAGAGAATTAAGAGAAATCAAGAGTTGGAAGCAGTAGCTAAAGATCATTATGAAAAGGTCTTGCTAAGGAAAAGAGGCCTGGAGCCCTGGAAGAGACTGAGAATGCAAAGCAAGCAAAACATTGAGGTACGCCATCATGATAGCAAACCCCAAATTAGAAAACAGGCCTGTCACAGAGAGCATGAGCACCATGAAAGCCAGGTGTTAGGGTGCAGGGAATTTGGTGCTTTTAAGAGCCAGAAAGAGAACTGGCTTGAGTATGTATACTTCTCTGTTTTGAATAAGAGTTTAGCTTTGGTTATCTAAATACTTGTAATTTAACGGGTTCTGGAAACTAGAATGGTTTTATTAGAGAATACGCTGCAGGTGACTAGAGGTGACTCAATTTTGGCATGGTTTACAACAGAGAGAAAGTAAGAAGGGTGACTGGATCTCTGCTATGATAAAGTCCATAGATAACCCCAAAATCTCAGTGCATGATAAAGTCCATAGATAACCCCAAAATCTCAGTGCGTTACAACTGATTCCCATTTCTCAGGAGTCTGCAGGCCAGCTGTAGCTTTGGTTCCAGTCTCTCCCCAACCGTAAATACGGGATCCAGAGCTACTCAGGGTGTGCCTTCCACCTAGCAATTAACCAGCAGATGGACCACGCCCTGTTGTGAACCTCTGGTGTCCATCACCAGGACCTTGCTCTGCAGTCCTTCTCTCCAAGGTCCTTGTGATCTCTATCAGAAAAGATGTACAGTAGGAACATGGGTAAAGTTGATTGCAGAATAAATGGAGGACACCCCCAAGGGGTGGGAGTGTACCATGACCAAGAGGCCATATTGTTCCACTTCACATTTTAAGGAGGTATTCTATTTCTAAAGTATCTAGAAAAAGCAGCTTCTCCTGAGGGACTTGGTCTGTCCAGTTGAGTGAGTGACACACCCAGTTGTATGACTCAGCTTCAAGAAGGCAGTGGTGTATCTTTGTTTTGTTTTGTTTTGTTTTTTTGTTTTTCAAGACAGGGTTTCTCTGTGTAGCTTTGCGCCTTTCCTGGAACTCACTTGGTAGCCCAGGCTGGCCTCGAACTCACAGAGATCTGCCTGCCTCTGCCTCCCGAGTGCTGGGATTAAAGGCATGCGCCACCACCGCCCGGCCGTATCTTTGTTCTTTATTAGACAGCCTCCAAATAGAGAGTAATCTTGGAGGTTGAGAAGACAGCTGTCAGGCTGGAGAGGGGGTTCACTGCTTGAGTGCTGGCTGCTCTTGCAGAGATCTAGAGTTCATTTTCCAGCACCCTTGGGTGCTCTCAACTGGCTGATTTTTCAGGCTCCAAGGAATCTAACACCTTCTTCTGACATCTGTGGGCACCCACATACACAGACAAATAATGAAAATAATAGACAACCTTATTAGTGACATTCTGGTTATTTGGAATGTCATGTCTCTTCCCAGGGTGGAAGGTATATTCAGACCTCATTCTTTTGAGTGAAAATCATAGCTCTAGGCTATGGTTTTATAAGCTGCGCATTATGAGGTGACCTCCAGGCTGCTAATCTAAGTAGCTACCTAACACTGCCCACTAGTAGTTCATTGAACAGAGCAGTCGTAAGGCCAGGCTCAAGGTCACTCAGAAGGGATGAGGCTCCATTTACTCCATCGCAAGGTGCTGCGAAATCACATTGCAAAGAGTACATAATGCTGTTTTTAAGTACGGCAATCTCACTCTGCCACAGGGATCCTTGAAATCTAACACCAATGACATGTCTCCAATTCCTAAATAAACTTACCCAGGACATAGAACGGGGCGTTCAAGTCAATGACCAAGAAGTTCAAAACAGATGCAGCGTTATTCTGCCTTTGGCTGCTAGGTTTAGATGTGTCACAAATCCCGTGATGGCCCTGATGGCCAGTAAATACCATTTCCGGGAGAGCTGCTTGAATAAACTTGTTCACAGTGCAGGTGGCTAGATGAAACCTAGGGAAATGTGTCACTGTCTAGAGAGGTCTACAAAGAGAAGGGTCTTTTCTCCTGTCACAGGAACATAACAGTCTCTTTTTCATACATAAAAGCTGACTTGTATTTGTTTGGGATGATATTCTCAGCCACTTAAATTGGTAAGACATTAAAATATTCATCATGTTATTTTTGAATCAATGGTTTTGTGGTTTATTGATAATGTCTAAATTTCAATCCTGGTGACAGTTCATTCTACAAAACTAATTGAAAGTATCGGCATTTCCTCAATTAGACAGTGGTTAAGGACATAATAAAGAGCCATCTGTTATGGACTTGCTGTCCAAGTTCCAGGAGAGCAAACTAAGAGCACTGCCAGCCACCCAGTCCAGAGGTTAGCAGACATGAAGTGATGTCGTGGAAAGTGCTCATTCCATTTCCACAGCCAGCCAGTGTCTGCAGCCTCCAGCGAGTCAGGACTGAACGAACGTGCATGATGTGAATCTGCGGCCTCCACAGAATAAGGCCAACAGCCACAGTCTCTTAGGACATAGACTATAGGCAACTCAAGATGATTCTTGTCCAGGAACTACTAAACCTGCTATGTAGTACCATTTCCCTAGTTATGTATGTTCCCTTAAGGGATTTAAAATTTAAGGAATAAATTCCTCTTTTCATTAAAAACGTTTCCAGGTAGCAGAAGAACATTACTCTTTGGCACTACAAAGAAAATGCCTGATCAGTTGGTTCCAGTACAGCCAGGAAACTCTGGCTACAAGGACAGCCCAGGCTGATCAGTTGTATTCCCAACTGTTGTGTAGAAGAATCATCCGAGGCTGGCTCCAGGTAAGGCCACAGGGAAGGGACTCTAAATGCATCTCCTTGAGCCACGTGTGCTGACATATGCCTGTGATCCCAGCACTTGGGAAGCTGAGGCAGGAAGACTGCCATGAATTCAAGGCTAGTCTAGTGTATATAGTGAGACCTTGCCTCAGAAGACCAAAACTAAATAACCCATCTCCCTGCTCAACTCCCCATAAAAAACTAAATGGCCTTCATAATGCTATACTCACTTTTGTTTTTCAAAACATAGAGCCATGAATCCAGTTCCTCCCTTTGGAATGTTATCAACTTTGGTTAGTATAGATTCCCAAGCACATGTCACTTTTCCCAGAAAGCGAATGTGTTTATATTATAATGAATCCTTACTTTGACTTGTTTTTTATAGTCCTTGGTTTTTTTGTCACACAGTACTTAGGTTGATTTTGGAAACCTCCCCTGTCAATCTTACACCTGTTTGTGCTCCTGAATTGCTGTTACTGTTATAGCACACGGCAGAAGATATACCTTGGCTGCCTTGTTCTCTCTCAGCCTTTGGCATCCTTTATTACTTCGCTGTGTATGTTCTGTTTCGGTTCTCTCTAGTTTGTTTTTTGTTTTGTTTTTTCACTCTATTGTTTACTATTTGTCTCATTTTTACTTGTGTCTTCACTCACTAGTATGTCAATGATCTGGAGAAAGAAGTAAGAAAACTCTATGTCCACGTACTGCAGAAGAAGGTTTTCAGAGCATGGTTTAGCATGGTCAGGGATCTGAAGATCGAATCCCAGGGAAAACTTGAGACTGCAGCAGAACATTGTGACAGGTAAGACTGGTGCTCTCAAGCTCACTGACTCCCCAGCTGTCTGTAACATACTCACTGCTGCTCTGTGAAAACATGAGGTGCAAGCTAGGAGAGCTGGGCTCTCCCAATTCACACGGGTGAGAGCAGCACAGGAAACCAACTTTCAAATGAGGAGGAGGCCTGTGCTATCCACCTAGGGCTGCCAGGGACCAAATGTGAGCAAATGGGACATATAAGCAAATGTGTTCCTTATTAGTCACACAGTTTTATTTTCTTAATGTGTGTGAGAGGGCGAGCCTGTGCAAATGCATGTGTACCACATGCATGCCTGGTGTCCACAGAGGTCAGAGGATGGCATAGGATCCCCTGGAACTGCAGTTAGAAGTGGTTGTGAGGCACCATGTGGGTGCTAGAAACCAAAACTTGTTGCAAGAGCAACAAGTACCGTTAACACAGAGCTTCATTTTTGTTTGCCTTTTTAAACATTGTGAAACATAGCACAAAATTTTAAAGTGTGTAAACCATACAAAGACAGTAATTATTAGTCACCCATGTCACCACAACTGAGGTCAAGGTGGAACATCATTGTTGCACAGGCCCTTCCTAATCACAAGTCCCTCCTACCGCTAAATGAATCTACTGACTTGTACAGTGAACACTTCCTTGCTCCCCTCCTAAGTATGTCGCCTTCAGCACTACAGTGTAGCTTTTCCTTGTTTTGAATTCTGTGCATAGATGTTGTATTATTAGCTAATGTTTAAAATACAATTAGGTCTTATTTGTTGAGAAATAACGTAATCCACACAAATGAAAATGAGTATATATGTGTTCTCTCACTAGAACTTTCCTAAGCATTTGTACAGAAATGTTCTGAGAGTAGCCAGGAAGCTCTCTGTGATGGTCAAGTGTCACTCCTGAGAAGCACAGTTCGTGCTTAGAGCGATCCCTCTGAGACATGGAGGCTTGTGAGGTGTGGAGTCGCCCTCTCCTCCCTGCCTCACACTCATTTTGGGGTGCTGTATTTTCACTGTGTGTATGCACATCTCTTGCACATCTTGATACACCAGGACACCCACTCCTAGCAAAACCTGTCTGTTCTGAGTGTATTAGAATGTATTGGAATCAGTGGGCTGGGAATGGACTAACACGTGTGTTATAATTTGGTCTAAATAAATATGACTATGCAGTGACAGTATTCAGGGGACTTACCTTTGAATAAGTGCATCCACTTTAGAGGAAGGCTAGGATTCAGGGTCATGTGACTCTGGATTCATTACCTTTTAAATCTTCTGTTAAAGGTTCAGCAAGATGGCCTAGTGAGTAATGGTGCCTGCCACCGAGACTGATGACACCATGTGGCATGTGCACACCATGTACACACATACCCACAATGCACAATAAACAAACAAATGTAATAAAAGATAAGGCCTGTAGAATTTAAAACATCTTGAAAATGAGTGAGAACAGAATTTCCCTCTGGGCTGTTGTGAAGCCCGAACAAGGAAACAGTAGTGGACTAATGCACTGCTCAGCCCAGTCACAGCTGCTGGGTGTGCTGAGTTTGATGCCGCTGTGAATGTGCATCCAGCCGCCTTTTATCTGCCTCAGTTGTCCGTCTTCCTCAGCCCAGGGGTTCATTTGGGGTTTTAGCACAGACCATGTCTTATGGTGACTGTAATGACCCTGGGGGAGTGATATCATGATTTCATTTTCTAACAGGGGAACAGCCTGCACCCCCATGTACAAATAACACACAGCAGGCAGCTCCCTGGACTCTGCACAGGGGTTTCCTGCTTAAATCACCCCGCTCTTGACACGTCTCCCTTCCCATTTTCCTTCCTCGCTGTCATTTGGAAGCTGTAACAGCAGGACAGCGTTCCCTTTCAGGCTCTGAAGTCAGTATAGGAAAACTATGCAATCCTCAAGAAATGAAGTGCTCCTCTTGGTGCAGAAGCACTGATATGACTGTGTCTCTTTTCCACTCTGTTCCTTGTTCCTGGCTCCTCTGTTCCTGCCCCACTGGCCTCCTATTCTGCCCCTAAGAGGCAGCAATTCCACCTCGGCTTAAAGGCAAATAGTCTCATCTTTTACATTGTTCAGCTCTGCTCAGACGTCCCCCACTGACCAGGAGCCTGCCTCCGTGTGTCTGTCCATTTCTTTGCTCTGCTTATTGCCCTAGAGCAAGCGGAGACTTCAGGAGGGTAGAATAAGAGGAGCCAATGTGGAAGTCAGAAAGCCTGGAGTATAGTTAGGAGAGAGAATCTGTATTACAGCAGGGGAGGGATGGAGGGAGGGATGGAGGGATGGAGGGATGGAGGGATGGAGGGAGGGAGGGAGGGAGGGAGGGAGGGAGGGAGGGAGGGAGGGAGGGAGGGTGGGAGGGTGGGAGGGCCAAGTCAAGCCTGGGGTGGGCCCTAGAGACAACCACAGGAAGTTCTCAGTGGTGGGCTGAGTGGAGAGGAATTGAACGCAGTGAAGCGGTTCTGCTCATTGGGACCTTCTTAGGTTTTTAAAGTAATGTTTTCACCAACAGAAGTCAACATTATCCAAAACATCAACCAACCAACAGCCATAAATTAATGACTGGTGCAGTCTGGGGCATCGTTAGCTGGCTAAGAGGCCAGAACAAGTATCATCACTGCGTCCAGTTTTACAAACAGCCTCAGCAACCCTGTGCTTGTGTTCCAGTTTGTAACTGTGTGACTCCCCACCTTTCCCCAAGGCCTGCTCTCTTCAGGAATAGCCGATTCAGTTCTGCTGCCTTTTAGCACCTCAGACGATCCTCACCCTGAGACTGGACAGCACCTGAGTTTCTCTGCCCCCGACCCTTCCCTCAGCACTGCCTCTGCCTAACAGGGCAGAGACTATCAGACCTCACCTCATCGTCCCCAGTGCACAGCTGGTGTAGACACTGGTCAGTCCTGAAAAGGCAGGCATGCTTCCCCAAGACAGCACTCCATTTCAACCTGGGACCCCCCATCATCTTTCCACATTTGGTGTGTACATCTTCGTTCTCAACTGAATTCCAGATGTTTTCTGTTACAGTTGGCGATGCGCTCACCAGTCAAGCTCTAAATTATGTAAGCGCTAAGGCCTGGGTGCCCTGAGCTCTTCCGGATCCAGGCACGTCAGTGTCTTTACCTTGACTGCTGTCTGCCCAAGCCCGTCAGAATTCCTGGTCCCGGTTGGTCAATATACAGGCTGTGACCAGATCCACCGAGGCGTCTCAAAGCTTGTACTGTCAGCGCCGGGTTCTCTGTGCAAATGTCAACTTACCACACAGCCATCCCATCTATTCTTTTTAATAGCACTGTGTCCTGTCGGATTTGCCATTGATTTCCACCTCTCCCTCCTTCTCTGACAGGAAGATCCTCAGTGTCGCACTCCGGACATGGAAGGCGTTTGTGAAATTTACAAAAGAAGAAAGAGTGAAGGAAGAACGGCGAGAGCAACTCCGTCGGAAGGTCGCTGACATCCTTCCAGACTTCCAGATACTCACACCGTTGTGACAGCTGTGGACCAGGAGCTACATGCTTGTCCTCAAGGGGGTCTTTGGTGCCGGGACCCGTGCAGGTTATCTCCACTCACACACCTATCTGAACCTGGTTTACTTTCTAGATGTGTCATAGAAGACCAGTGGAAATACCTTGGGAATTTGTTCTTCCTTCTCGATCTCTCCTGGGTTACTAGGCATCTGTTGTAGCGTCTGTCACAGTGGGGTCAACCAAAGGAGCAGTCTAGAGCACCACTATTCAGTGTATTTTATATATTTTTAGCATAATAAACTTGAAAAAGGACGAGTGTTTGCCTGCCTGGACTTGTGAAGGAAGATACAGCCTTATCACTTCTTGTGAAATGCTGGTTAGTGTAACATTGGATAGAAACAAAGCAGTGAGTACCTAGAAAAGAAGGTATGGGCGGCCTGTGTTCTCCAACCACAGCAGGAGTGACAGGTGCCTAACAGGGCCCATCCCAACGGCAAGCAGATTCAAAGGTACTCTATACAGCTGCAGCAGAATGCAGCAGCTTCTCCTGTTTCAGAGCCACCAGGACGCCCCAGCACCTTGATGAGCAGGAAGGAACTCCAAAGCTAATAACAGCTCCAGCAAGGACCATCCAGCCCCTCATCAAAATGCCTAGCCATGCTCTGACTGCAGCTTCTGAGTAATCCATCTGCTTTGTCTGCTTGGCCTGGCAACTTATACTGAATTCAAAGAATGTTCTAATATTTAGAATTCTATAAAGATTGATCAAATGTTCCCTTCTGTGAACTTTTACACAGAATCATCTGCTAGGAATTTTTTTCATTATAAAACATATCTTTATTGTGACAAATTCAAATAGTCTACAAATGCACACAGTAAAATGAGAAAGATCGTGGTAGCCCAGAACATCTGAAGTGGTAAAGTAAACTGTCTGAGTGAACGTGTTTGATCCAGCATAGTTCTTAAGCTACCTGGCCACACTAGCACAGTGGCTCTGGTCCTTTTCTCATGAAAGATGTGTAGTGGTGGGCTGGGAGACAACAGGATGCCAGAACTGAACTGCAGCCCAGCCACACACCTTTTCCTTTAATATCATCATACGGTGTCATCTAAAAACACAAGTGTTTGGAGGACCAATGGCCACAAGAAAAATGGGACTAAAATCATATTTAATCTCATTCCATCTAAGTCACAATTTATACTTAATTATAGCACACTTAGGAAATATTGGCCATTAACAACTTAAAAAGTCAAAACTACATATTAATTTAATGACAAGCCCGCAGAAGAGGGTGAATTCCTTCAGTAAACATGTCTTAAATAAGTCATATAAAATTAAGTTTTCTATCTTAAACTTTATCTTTGCTTCACCCTCAGCACCACCCAGAAATTGCTTTTTGGGGACACATACTTTGACTGGGCCACAGTGCCAGCTTATAGCCCACTCTCAATGGTCAGTCTTGATGGGCCGTGGTGAAGCTAACCATTGCCTGAATAGACAGTATCTGATCTACAGAACCAGGGAAGGGAAGAGGAAGTTTAGGGTCAGCAAAGGACCACAGGATGGGGACAAAGAGGTACCAGGAGGCGGCACAGCTTATGGTTTTCAAGGCAAAACACTTTGAGGACACATGAAAATCACCAACAGTTTCTGTAAAGAAAGCACTTTATTTCCCTTTTAAACGGCTTGTCACAGGACCCTGTTTTGCACAAATGGCAGTAGTTTGTAAAATCTCCATTTAAAAGGCCTTGCGCCTGAGTCTGAGGGGAGAGGGTGTGGGTACAGGTACAGAGTGCCAACTGTCCAGGCCTTAGCCCCCAGCTTGGCTTCAGGAATCCTACTTCATCATATTAAATATTGTATTTAACATTAAACTCATTCCTGGGTTTCACTTGGTCTAATGTCAGACCCCGAAATTAGATCAAATGAAAAGGCCCCAAAGCCCTAACAGATCATCCACTCACCCAGACCCTGGCACCACAAATGAGCTTGTTGCTCTCACATGGCATTTGTCAATGGCTTTGCCTGAAAAACATCAAAATTGTATTTGTATCATTAAAGCAGACTATCCCTGGTTTCAAAGCTTTGCCTTGAAATATGAGTCTCTAAAGGTGAAAAGCACCCCAGGAAGGCTCCAGTCCTAATGAATCACAAGCCCAAGCTGGAGCAAGCCACGGGCTTTGCTCCCCAATCAGCCCGCCGTCCCTACAGTGAAATGTCAGAGCCAGTTCAAGTGCAGATGACTGTCCACCAGTGTCAGGACTCAGGTCAGCTGCCTCTTCAGAACAGTTACATGAATCTCAGCGAACATTCACCAGAACATCGTGAGTTTCATTCAGTGTTCAGTTTGACATGGTTTCCATTCTTCCCGAACGACCTCTGCATGTGTAACAGGAAACAGTTGACTTGTCAAATGCTGCTAAGCAAACCGGGTTCCAAGCAGGTGCCTCCAGCACAAGTCACATCCACTACTTGTTTGGATAAAAGTCTCCTTTTTGAAAGGCAGGGTATCCAAGTATGGCTAACAGGAAGTGAAGTCATAGAAACCTAGCTAGCTAGTTTAAAGAGATGAGGGGATGCTCAGAGCATTACTTCTTAAACTTCACGGGTAAAGCTGTGCGTCCACAGGGTTTTGCTTGTCAGTTGAGCTTTATAATAAACAGCTCATGTCCTACCCAAAGGAAGTAAGTCTGTCGGGCAGATGGAGTATTACAGACTCTTACTGGCATTGTGTTTTCTGGCAGTGGAAGGTTCTAGTATACAAAGTTTTCTCTTGCTAAAAATATTAGAAGTCCCAAGGACTATTGCAGGCGAGGAAGTTGACAGCAATCTTCCTTCTAGGCAGATAGTACAGTAGACAACAATCAATGCATTCCCCAGAGGAAGGTGCCACTTGGAGAGCAGAGATTTACAATATCCTACACAACTATGTGGCTGGAGAAACTCACGGCACTGTCCCCGAAACATGCTTAAGGCTTCATTTTAGCGGCCTTCAGAGTAGCCCGCCCGTGAGTGGTGGTGTGGTGGTGTGGTAGTGCGGTGGTGTGGTGGTGTGGTGGTGTGGTGGTGTGGTAGTGCGGTGGTGTGGTGGTGTGGTGGTGTGGTGGTGTGGTAGTGCGGTGGTGTGGTGGTGTGGTAGTGCGGTGGTGTGGTGGTGTGGTAGTGCGGTGGTGTGGTGGTTATGTAAGGGATCGGGACAGAATGGGTCTTTATGAAGTTCAGCTGTAGGCCAAGAGAGAGAGCCTGCTTCTCTGAGTCACATTTCTGAGGAGCACTTTCTCCCATGGTCAAGGGACTGGTGGCTTAGCCACACTGGATGCTTCGGACAGCCCATTCACAAAGGCCTGGCTCTTTTTTGTTGTTGTTGGTTGGATGGGTGGTTTTTTGGTTTTGTTCAAGACAGGATTTCTCTGTGTAGCCCTGGCTGTCCTGGAACTCTGTAGACCAGGCTGGCCTTGAACTCAGAGATCCACCTGCTTCTGCCTCCCAGGTGCTGGGATTAAAGGCATGTACCACCACTGGCAAGGCCTTGACCTTTTAAAGACTCCAGTTAAATCTTTTACCACCTGGAGAATACTAAGGCCTACAACAAAATCCCACAAACAACTAGAGCTCATAAGCAAGCTCAAAAGTCTAGGAATATATGCTGAAGATGGCCTGGGGCCTAGTGGAGGTTGCTGTGACAGCCCCTGGTTTCCTGTCTCCTAGAAACAGGCACTTCAGAAGGCTGAGTGTGTATTTCCTGTTTCCCCTCCATGAAGCAACAAGGCCAAGGCAAATTTAAGGTCTCACAAAGTGTCTTTGATCTTTGGGATCCCAGAAAAGTACATGTGTAAAAACCAAACACGTCAAGAGGCAGTTTTCCTCTTAGGACTCTCCCATCTCTATGGCTGAAAGATGCCCATCCTGCAGAAATAGACAATCTTTCCTAGGTTACAGTTCTGAGACACAAAGGGACCGTTCGGTATCGGGGAGAGCTAGAAAGCAGCAATCTGTCCATTATTGGAAAGCGCACGTACCCTGTTGCTCTCTCCTAGAGAGATACTTTTAGTAAGGAAGCAGGGATGAGAAGGCTGAAAGATCCACACAACAAGGATCTTCTTACAGGTTTGACTTTCTTTTGAAAGCCACCAATCAGTTCTCCAGAAACATAAGCTTCGGGCTGGAGAGATGACTCAGCAGTTGAGAGCACATGCAGCTCTTCCAGAGGACCGGGTTCAGCTTCAGCACCCACAGCAGGTAGCTCACGGATGCCTATAACTCCAGACACAGACACAGAGACAGACACACACACACACACACACACACACACACACACACACACACACACACACACACAAAGAAAGTCTAAACAGAAGAGAAACTGAAGCATCTTCATTCCAGTGAGTCCCAGAGCCAACAAGGAATCCCCCCATCCATGTGAGGGGAATTGACCCTTGAGTGGCCAACTCTGAGAAAGGCAGCGGTCATTCCTCATTCTCCCAGTGACGGGTCTTGGTGTAGCGCTCACCATCACGTCACATCAGCACAGCTGCTGAAGATGAGGCAGGCTACAAGTACTGACTACACAACTTCTATATATGTCAGCAGAGCTAGAGGTTCCGAGTTGGCTAGATACCTGGCATTCAAGAGACATGAAAACTACCAATTTCTGCCCACGTAAGCTGTCTGACATTACTACCATCTCTCTTACCTAAAACCCACACGGAAATTAGTCGTATCCAAGCCAACTTTCATTCTAAATGAACGTCTGACTCTAGGCCAGGGACAGGCATCGCTGTAGAAGCTGCAAACACCCCCAGGCTCTCTCTGGCTAACCCCAGTAGAATATGGAGTCTATTGTTTGTTAAACAGTAGCTCTCTGGGGAGAGCAATGACACACCTGGATGAAAATGTGGCCCCTGTCCTCAGGAGAGCCCTGGCTAACGCCAGCCTAAGGGTGGTGGCACTCTGCAAAGGACCAGGGCTAACTGCAGAGGCCCTGGGATTCCTCTCGACGCTTATCAGCAGGCACAAAAGGGGGAAATGCAGCACTGTTTCCCCTCTATGAAGCAACAAGGCCAAGGCAAATTTAAGGTCTCACAAAGTGTCTTTGATCTTTGGGATCCCAGGAAAGTACATGTGTAAAAACCAAACACGTCAAGAGGCAGTTTTCCTCTTAGGACTCTCCCATCTCTATGGCCGAAAGATGCCCATCCTGCAGAAATAGACAATCTTTCCTAGGTTACAGTTCTGAGACACAAAGGGACCGTTCGGTATCGGGGAGAGCTAGAAAGCAGCAATCTGTCCATTATTGGAAAGCGCACGTACCCTGTTGCTCTCTCCTAGAGAGATACTTTTAGTAGGAAAGGGGAACAAGACACAATGTGGATTGGGAAAGTGTCAGTCACCCAGAGAGAGTTCATGCCAGACAGAAGTTCCCATTTTGTGCTATAAACCTACAGCACTAGAAATACACGCACAATAATAAAAAAATAAATCAAGCCCTTGATATTAATCAGCCTCCCTAGCCAGGAAAGAGGGTAAAATGTTCTCACAGGACAGTTCCTCCCCTTCCGGCCACCAGTGTGCTAGCACCTCACCAGGTGAAATGTGGAAGGAGGGAAAGCAAACATTGTTTGTTAGAATTACAGTAAACCTAAAATGATACATTAATAAACACTCGTCACTTACATTTCTCCCCACGCCACACTGCGGGGATAGTCATTATCCCTTCGTCAGCTGCCCTTCTCAAGACGAGACGACCAGCATCAATCGCTTATCACCTCTGATCCGTGAGAACAAGGTCTAACACTTCAGGAGAATTTCTATAACATCGTAATATTGGCTTCAGTATTCTGATCGACAAGCAGTCTGCTTCAGTCTTAGGGATTCCCTAATAACACCTGATACCTCCAAATGCCTGAGTTGGACCGGAGTGCTTTCCAGGTCCCTCCTCAGGTGGCCCTCGTGGATGCTCCGTGAGGTAGCCAGGCAGCAGAAGCCCCCATCCAGATGAACCTGAGACTTGGGAAAGTGACTACCGAGGGGTCATATGGCTATTAAGAATTGAAAGGAGGGCTAGGAAATGTCCCTTGAACTAACGCTTTTCCTCAACTGGATGGACAGAAACTCCTCCTACTGGCCTGTGCATGAGTAATCCACATCCTTTGCAGCTTCAGCAAGGTGACTGCAAAGGAATGGCTCTACTCCTGCAGCTTCAGTATTCAAATCCCTTAAGTTAGGAAGTCAGAAGAAAAAGCTCCTTTTCTTCAGTCCTTTCTTCAAACCTGAGCATGGCCCTGCAGTACCTCTGAGAGGAGGGTGATGACGGTGAATCCTGCGTGGACACTGAAGTGTGAAATGGAAGGACAGAGAAAGGAGTGTCCCTCAGAGCTGCACGGAAGGCACTTCAGACAATGTCCTCGGCAGGGGCGTGGACCGTGTGCGCGCCCAGGGTGGAGAACTGGTACCAGTTGCGCAGAAAGCCCCTGTTGTACTGGCCTGTGTCCACGATGAGCCCACAGAGGAGCCGGCGGCCTGTCTTCTGCCGAAGGGCCTGCTGGACTTCCCTCTCGGTCACGTTGTAGCTGATGTTTATCAGCTGGATGAGGAAGATGTAGGCCATGCCCGCTGTGATGATCACGGAGTACCACACACAGGTGAAGGACAGAGCCGAGCTGCGTTGGAGAAAGGAACCTTTCTGAACACTTATATATACTCCTTAGTAAGGACCTGAGCATCCTCTCCAGTCTCGATTAGAGGATATCATAGTAGCCTCAGAATGCTAATGCCCAGTTGAACCCTTTTAATTTTCCTCTGGATTGCTAGTACGTATTTTTCTAGCATGGTATATTTAGCAAAGATTGTTTTTATTATACTTGCAGCACGTGACAGCAGGCATTCAGCACCTGTTGAATGAAGGAGCGATTCCTAGGTTGTGGCTAACTCCCGAGAAAGCAGAGGTTCCAGATCATTACTGGTGTCCTCTAGGAAGCTGGAGATGGAAATCTAAGAACAGGACTAACGTTCTGTGTGCGGTCCAGTGCCGACTGAACACTACAAGGACAACCCCCACCATTAACAGCCCTTTACTTCTATGTAGGAGCCAGGCTGGAGCAGGGCCCCGGGGTTTAAGAGTGCCTGCTGTTCTTCCAGAAAATGTGAGGGCAGTTCCCAGCACCCCAGGGAGTTAGCTCACTACCACCTGCAATTTCAGTTCCCGGGGCTCAGATGCCCCCTTCTGGCCTCTGTGAGCAGCCACACATACTTGGCATGCATTCACAAAAATAAAAAAGAGCTGTATGAACCTAACATTTCAAACCAAATCACACAGGGCAGGAAACCATCTTCCGGGCTCCTTCATGAACTGTGGGCTGGGGCTGCCTGTTAGTATAATCAAAGAGCAGGTCATGTTCATTTAGACATGCACAAGTGAAGAGTGGAAAGAGATCACTGGCTCTTTGTCAGCATTCAGAGCCACTTCTCGGAATCCTGGCCAATAAACAGATCACAGCCTGGCCCGCCTAGTTCCTGATGTCATCCTATGTTTGGTCCCTTTAAGAAAGGACTCCTCCCCCTTCGCTCTCTCTTCCCCCTCACCACAAGGTAGTGCACACCTCCCCCCTCCTTTCCTCTCTCTCCTCCCCCCCTCCCCCCTCTCTTCCTCTCTCCCCCTATCTTTCTCTTTCCCCCACCAAATAAAACTCTCCACTGAGTGCTGTCTGCATGGCGTCTGTCTCTAACCCACCGTGGGGCACCTTGGCTCCACCCGCCAAGGCCTCTCTCTCACTTTTTCACAACACTCTTCATTTGCAAAGTTAAACAGGACCTCACAGATTACAAATCCAAAACTTCACCCTAAGCTGAGGTGACAGCAATCACTGCATAGACTGGGGTGAGAAGTAATGGAGGGACCAGGCACCCCGTTACCCCACGAAGCACATAGACTCTTTGTGTTACACTTATCACCCTTGTGTTGGCCAAGACTATCCACATGTCTAGAGCAGAAAGTTACCACAAGAAGGGAGGGCTAATAACCTCTCTAAAATATCTGTAATATCTAAACCTGGAGTGGGGGGCTCTGCCACAGACTAATAAGAACTAACAACACACAGGGTGCCTGGTAGCTGTGGGGGGGCCCAAGACAGCTTGACCACACAGCTGCCATGAAGGCTTAGAGGCCTAGACACAGCTTCTGTGACAGGATTACTGGTAGGCAACACCCAGATCCAAGAAAAGCCATAAACTGACCCTGCCTAGAGAGGGCCTGCACTAAGGGGGAAATACCTGACATTCCAAACATTCCTAGCACACACCTATATCCCTAGACAGATGTCAGTCAACCAGGGTCCTGAACCCTGGAAATCCCCTCACCCCAACCTCTGCTATGATAAAAATCTCACGTTGCCAGAGCTCGGGGCTCTCTGCCTCTCACCACTGCCTCGGACAGACAGAGAGACCAAGCTCCAAGCTTAAAATATGGGATTCAGTCTCCGTGGTGGTCTTTTGAGAGTCCCCGCAATTTGGGCACAACAATAGCAAAAGCAGAAATTGCTCTGGAGAACAAGGAGTGAGAAGGAAGAGGAGAACCAAAGAAACAGTATGGGCGGGAAGCACCCTGGGATGGAGGGGGGGGGCAAGAGCACCCTTGGTGTGTGGGAGTGGGTGAGGGTCGGGGGCAAGAGCACCCTTGGTGTGTGGGGATGAGGGGGAAAACCACCCTTGGTGTGTAGGAGATCTGTGGGAGTGGGGGAGGCAAGAGGACCCTTGGTGTGGGAGGGTAGGGGGAGCAAGACCAACTATGAGAATCCCACTTCCACCACTGCATGGGAATCTGCACAGTTTATAAATGGGTTCCCACCTAATGACGCCTAAGGAATCTTGACCTAGATAGCGCAGTAATCATGAGTGGTGAATTTAAAAAAAAAAAGAAAGAAAGAAATTAGAGCAGAACAAACCATGAGAGGTTAGAGAGAAGACGTGAGCATCTCTCAGAAGGATCCCCGCTGAGACCACAGGCGCCCGGAACGTCTCCGCTGTGGGAGTTCCCGATACAGCCAAGGCCAGTTTGTTTGTTTGTTTGTTTGTTTGTTGAGACAGGATCTCTCTATGTGGCCCTGACTGTCTTAGAACTTGATTTGTAGAAGCAGCTGTCCTCAAACTCAGAGAGATCCACCTGCTTCTGCACCCCAAGCGTTAGGATTAAAGGTGTGCGCCATCAATGGGTGCTTCTGATAATCACCCTAGAACACACCCCCAACCCCTGCACAGCTTGGTTGGCAAATTTAGGGATGCCCAGCGTCTCCAAAGCCTGCTCTATGCTTTGATTGAGAACAGCTAACTTAGGAGCAAATAACTGCCTCTTTCCGGCAACAATGATTACTTCCCGGCTGGCCCCTCTTAACAGAGGGTTCCACAACTTACCTGTAATTTGCATAAACTCCAGGACAGTAGAAGAGGGCTGTGAAGAGGCTTCTATCCCTACAAATGGTGTTCAAGGTCAGCGATATCCCGTACACGGAAGTGAGCAAGAAGATCAAAAGGGCAAGTATAAATGCTTGATGATTTGATTCTCCAACGCAGCTGTTTATCCTCAAAACAGCAGAGGGGGAAAACACATTTGAAAACATCTCGGATAACCCACACAATAAACAAGAAAGCCTTTAAAATAGGGACAGTAGGAACTTCAGTTCTGAAACACTAAGTCATCCTAGTTTTCAATTTTAGGGAAACAAAACCTTTTCTACTGTGTGACAAAGTCTTATCTTTTCTATGGAAGAGTAGAACCATTATCACTTAGTTTAAAGCCATGACTTAAAAAAAAAAAAAGCAGCAGCCAGCTGACAAATTAGCCATCTAGATACAGAGCTTATACATATATGAACATATATAATTAATACATATGCACATGTGGGTTTTTTATGTGGTGCTGGGGATTGAACCTGGTTCATGTTATGCAGACACTCTACCATTGGGCTACACCCCAGCCCCTGTTTCTAAATATTAATGTGAGGTCTATCACCCAGCTATGAGGAAAGTTGAGATTAAGCAGTTATGAAAACTGTAAAAGTACAGTCAGAAACACTGCACAAAATTGGAAAATACGTTAAGTACGTATGAAGCAACAAAGGGATCCAAAGCAGTTGAAACTAGGGTGCAGCAGCATGGAGAACACGATATTATGAAGCCGGTCAGATAAAAAAATGGTCCTATGTCATGGGCTCTGTCAAGGCAGGCAGGGGACACAGGCCACCACTCTTCTGCCCAAGCATCCCAGGATGCTCAGTGGCAAGAGGTTTCCTACAGGACAAACCGTCAGATTCTGCAAACGAGCGTTTGGAAATGGGCCAACACATCACGTGCACATGCACACAATGGGGATAAATGGCAAATGTAAAGCTAAAAACAGCCCTTTACACTTAACGACAAGTCCCAGAAAAGAGGTGTCCCCGTCCTAGGGCCATGCACTTGGCCATTTCAATACCCTCCGAGCATTCCCTAGACTCTCTCTCCTGTTCTCTGCAGGCCTAGAGTGCAGTTCATTAACCAGAACTGCCCCGAGAGCGACACAACGGCACACCTGCTACTCACAGCATTCACAGCTGAGTCCTAACATCCCTTCAGCATCACTCGGTGAAATTTTAGATGCTGCACTTCATATGTTATGGACCTGATGTGACTTTCCTTGTCACTAGCCAGCTTGAAGGTACAAAACAAAGCCCATGTCCTGGCAGGTAACCAATAAAGGGATATCTGATAGGACCTCAGCTACAATGGCGAGCGGAAATCTCTGTGTGCAACAAATGACTAAGGATGTACACAGCAAGAACACAGCAGAGTCACTTGAAAACAGGGACCGCATGTGCTCGTAGGTGAGCAGGCGTCTACACTTGCATGTGGAAACAGAGGTTGATGCCGGTGTCTTCCTCAGTCATCCTCCACCTATTTTCTGGGGCAGGGTCTCTCACTGAACCAGCAACTTGCTAATTCAGCTAGATGGGATGGCCAGCAAGCCCCAGTGATTCTCCTGCCTCTGCCTTCCCGGTGCTGGGGAAAAAAAGCACATGCCACACTACACGCGGCCTTCGCATGTGAGTGTTGAGGAGAGACGCAGGTCCTCGTGCTGGCCTGGCAAGCATTTTACCAACTGAGCCATCTCCACAGTCCCTGATACATTCTTCTTGTTTTAATCAACCAAAGGAAAATTGGAAGGAAAGGCGGGGTGGGGGGGGGGGGGCGTGGGGGGGGGGTGGACGGGACTCCCGAAGTTTTTCGTCTGATCTCCTTCAGGAAATTGAAGGCACTAAATCTGTGAAACTCAAAAAACCTGATGACTAAGCGGGAACATCCTCACAGCCTACAAATATCTACAAGGTGTAAAACCGGGAAAAAGAGACGTCTTAGGACAGCACAAAGGAAGATCAAATATGGGGAGGCTATGAATTTAGTTTCTGGGCTTCCAGATTTTTCCAACATACCAGACACAATGATGATCCATTCTCCTTACACAGATACCACATATCCGGCAATGCCATGCCCGGGCGGGTCGTACTAGCTGGCACTTGGCACACCAGTCCTCCTTCACCTTGGCAGGGCTGTCAAGTCCCACCCTGGAGGAGCCCTTAATATCATCCTTCAGCGTGCGGTTGTTGAGGCTCCCCGAGGTATCTGTTCCGGGGAACCCTTTGGTCTTCTCCTGCCCTTTTCTGATGGGGCATTCGATCTGGCTGTTGCTTGGGGATCTGTCATTGCATGCTGGATTGCTGAGGTAGCCTGGATCCTTCTTGGCTCGGTACAAGGCTAAGAGTATCAGGAGTAGCCCGCAGGTAAGAAGAGCCAGCTGAGCAGGCCCTACACGCCCTTTGGGAACCACTTCCCGCAGGAACACATAGTACATGTAGCCCAGTGAGAACAGTCCAAGGCTCAGGAAAAACAGTGTCTGCTCTTTCCTTCTGTGAGTGAGGTAGTAGTACCAGAGCGCCAGCACGGGAAGGGAGATCAGAACCACCACCCCAAGCAGGAAGTGCCAGGAAGCCACGTGAAGGAAAACCGGCAGAAGCACGAGCGGCGGGACGATGCTAATGTTAACTTTCTTGGCTCCTCTAAGCCAAGGAATTCGGAGGCGATCAGAAATGGTATCTGTGATTCTTTCACAAGTCTCTGGCCGCACTGATTTACAGGTGAGCCATCTATTCAGAGAGAGCAGAAGAATGGGCATCACGTGAATTTGTGAATTAAAAACTACAGGGCCCCAGATGTCAAAGAGCAGCATAAATGATGACACCAAAAGCCAACATTTTATTCCCTCACTACTAAACACAAGCTTTTCAGACTTGTGTGTATCCTTTTTATATAGGAAGATAATGTTTATAAACGTAACGATCGGCATTCTTCCTTAAATACGCAGGTATATGCACATATTCCATACAAATGTCTAGACCTGAGTGGGTGTACACTCACGTGAATCTTTAAAAAAAAACTGACAGTGAGAATTCAAAAAGTATCAGGTGAGCGGCCATGATCTTCCAATGAACTCTTTTTTTTTTTTTTTTGGTTTTTCGAGACAGGGTTTCTCTGTGTAGCTTTGCGCCTTTCCTGGAACTCACTTGGTAGTCCAGGCTGGCCTTGAACTCACAGAGATCCGCCTGGCTCTGCCTCCCGAGTGCCCAATGAACTCTTAAAAGCTCAGGGCACAGAGATCAAAGGGTGCTTAGTGGAAAGGTGTGGTCTGTGCTTAAACCTTGATGGTCAGCTAGCAAAGAAGGGGGTGTTTCAGCCAAGAGAAATGGGTGCAGTTCAGAGCGTGTCCTGGGCCCTGGGAGTGAAGCGGGCTGTCACAGACAGGAGTCTGCATAAGCAAGAATGAAGAAGAAACTAAAATAAACCCAGTGACTCCCAAGAACAGTGTCTGCTGACTTCGCACAGTTAGGCATGCTGCTATCTGAATGTTCCAGTTTTAAAACCTAACCCTTAACACCTGAGTATAAGTGGTGAGGCTACTGGACATGGTGGCACACACCTTTATTTACAGTTGCATGAAGGCCTGCGGCAGGAGGATTACTGATCCCAGCCATGTAAGGCCAGAGTCAACAATATAGTGAGAGCTTCAGGAGGGTGGTCTCATAAGAGGTGATTTGGTCATGACAGGAAAGTCCTCATGGATGGGATTAGACCCTTTATAAAAGAGGCTAAACAACATAGCAAGAAAGCACCATTTATGAGGTAGGTGGCTGAACTGTGTTCGTGTCCTAGCGTTTTGTAGAAGGTAGGATTGAAGAACAATGGACTGAATATTGATAGGAGTCTCTAATCAAAGCGTTCAGGGTGCCACACAATTTCCCTAAATTCTTATGCTCACATGTGAGTAAAGAGATGAGAGGCTGGGGAGATAGATGCCCAGTGGGCAATAGGAGGGCACGAGTCTGGATTCCCAGTACCCATGTCAAAGGCAGGTCCGATGATATGCATTTGTAACCCCAGCACTCGGGAGGTGGCAGTGGATCTCCAGAGCTCACTGGCTACCCAGTCTACCCAGTCAGTGAGCTCCGGAGTTAGTGAAGAGACCGTCTCAGAAATTAGGGTTGGGGATCAAATGCATAAGACATCTGACACACCTTTGGCCTACACATAAATACATATACAAACAATAATTCATAATAATAATAATAATTAATAATGATGAGGGGCTAGGAAGACGGCTCAGTTGGCAAAGTATTTGCATGACAGCAGGAGGACTGAGTTTGGATTCCCAGCACCCAAGCAACATGGGGCTAGCAAGAGGGCAATGGGTAAGGGTGCTTGCCACCATGGCTGATGACTTGAGTTCAATCCCCTCAGGGTCCACACGGTGGCAGGTTGTCCTCTGACCTCCACATGAAAACCATGGGACATGCATGTACACACAGGCACATACATTATGGAAATAGAGAGGCATGGTGCTGTGAGCTTGTAATCCTACTGCTGCACTGGGAGCAGCAGACAGGAGGACTCTGGAGATGGCTGGTCAGCTAGTCTGGCCAACTGAGGAGCTCTAGGTTCAGTGAGAGGCACTGTCTGGAAAAAAAAATAAGGCAGAGAAACAATTCAGAAAGACACCTGACATCAACCACTGTCCACAAGGAGCACACATGTGCACATACACATACAATACATATAACACACACACACACACACACACTGACTTGAAGGACATAATGTATACAGCCAGGCGGTGGTGGCACATACCTTTACTCCCAGCACTCAGGAGGCAGAGGCAGGAAGATTTTCTGTGAGTTCGAGGCCAGCAAGGTCTGCAGAGCGAGTTCCAGAACAGCCAAGGCTACACAGACAGACCCTGTCTCAGAAAGCAAAGAAGACAAACAAACAAAAGGCATAATGCATAACCAAAGAGGAAACAGAACCTGAAGATCTGGAAAGTTCTTGGCCTTCTTAGCCTGTCTAAACGATAACAACTGTGAAAGCCTGTGCGAGAGTGCATCGTAAGATCACGAGGGCTTGGCCCTGCGCTACGCATCAGGACAATGAGAGGACGACCCTTAAAACAGTTCGAGGGCTGAGGCTGCACTCCTATCATAAGCCTGGAATGCGTGGGCCTCGATGACACCATGGTTTCACAGGAAATGGCTCAGAACGCCCATGAAACCTCAGGGCTCGCTGCCTAGTACCCCATCAAGTCTCTACTCCCTACATTCTAGTGTAGCGTCTACAGAAACCCCAGGCGTGGCTCCTGAGAAGGCTGCAGGGGCCACTACTCCCAAGGACATCAGTAGTAAACTTGGGCGGCATCGTATGTTCCCAATTCTACAGCCCTACAGAATACAAGAGCTGCGGGGGCATGGCTATATCCAGGTAGATGTCAAAGAATGTTCCAGAGAACATCAAGGCTGAGGCCAAGAAGTACCACAGAGTGGAGTCACCCCATGGAGCCCTCACTAAGGTATTGTCCTGTGTACCCATGGGCATGGGACCACTGCAGAGAACCTCACTAGGCAATGCCTGGTAAAGCTGTAGGGGAAGAACTGACCAAGACCCCAGAAATGGTGGACCTAGCAGCCCACAACCTCTGTGAAGGCACAAGACTCTAACACATGAAAGGTGTGTGGTGAGCTGTAAGCTTCGGGGCCCGACTTCTAGTTCAGTGTGTCTGGAAGGTGGGCTATACAGTCAAATATTATCTTCAAGACTTGTATCGTTACACAGAGAAACCCTGTCTCCAAAAAACAAACAAACAAAGACTTGAATCATAAACACGTCATTTGCCCTGTGGGAATGGGACCTGTCTTCTCCGGTTTCTTTCCCATTTCTCATTTTTGCCATGGGAATTTCTTTTCAATGAATGTCCCACTATTGTGTTTTGAAAGTATGCAAATGTTACTTCTTTTTTTTTCTTTATTTCTCTCCCCCGCCCCCCCCCCCCCCCCCCCCCCCCCGCCTCCCCAAAATAGGGTTTCTCTGTGTAGCTTTGGAGCCTGTCCTGGAACTCACAATGTAGACCAGACACCAGGCTGGCCTCGAACTCACAGAAATCTGCCTGCTCCTGCCTCCCGAGTGCTGGGATTAAAGGTGTGTGCCACCACTGCCTGGCTATTTTTTATTATTATTATTTTATGTGTACATGTGTTTCACCTGCATATATGTATGTGAATCGTGTGTATGCCTCATGCCCACTGAGGTCAGAGGAGGGTGTTGGATCCCTTGGGACTGGAATTACAGGCAGTTTTAAGCTGCCATGTGGATGCTGGGAATTGAACCCTGGTCCTCTACAAAAGCAAGAAGTACTCTTAGCCTGTCTTTTGCCCACAGCCTTTTATCCACAGGCCCGTAGCTGAAGGACACTGCATAAGTCCTTCATGAGTTTCTCCTGTTTCTGATTTAGACAATGTCATTCAGACCACTGTCCAGACTTAACATGTCTGTGCTGACACTTGTACAATTAAATATCTGAGGTTGTTGGTAGGTAAGGAACGTATTTTTGATTGTGAAGACATTCATTTGGAGGGGGCAAACGTAGACTGCTAAGACCTGAATATCTGTAACCCACTAAAATTCATTTAGTCCAAATTTAATCCCCAATACAATCTTATTAAGAGGTAGGGCTTTTAGGAAGTGATGGAGTCAACAAGATAGAGCATGAATGAGATTAACATCCACACGAAAGAAGACCAAGGCAGGCAGGTCATCCATCCCTTTTGCCATGTGGGGATGTAGCAAGATGATGCCGTCTATGAGGAGGAGGGTTCACACCAGATACTAAATCTGCCAGCACTTCTGACTTGGATTTCTCCATCTCCAGAACTGTAGGCAATCCACTTCTATCACTTGTACCCACTCTGAAGCATTTTGTTGCAGCAGCCTAAGTGGACTAAGACAGGCAAGAGAGTTAAGGTAGTTTAGGTAAAAATCACTTTGGACAATTGTTTTGAGCAGGACTCAACTTGAAAGTGACTGGGAGAGGATTACCTGGAGTCACAGGGCAGCAGGGTCAGTGGGGACAGGGAAGCCTGTCTCCAGGGAAAAAGGGAGACATGGCGGGGAGGGGAGAGCTCAGGGGACAGCCCAGGTTTCAAGGGCTAGGAGAGAGGAAGAGTGGGCAAAGCTAACGGAAAAGCCGCGGTCCTGGGCGGCAGCCATTATGGAGACAGCATCATTTCTCCATTCATTAGTGCAAAGTGCTCTCTTTTCTCAGTATGGATTTTAGACTAAGTCTAAAGAAGCGATATTTAAGGCTGCCTACAAAAAAAAGACAAGGAACAACTATAAAGAGGTTACGGGCTTGAAGAGAAGACTGCAGTGATCCCCAGGGAAAGCTTTTTCATGGCTAGATTAACAATCTACAGTAACCGTGACTTTGTAGCCAGAAGGGGCTGCTTCTGGGAAAAGCTTGTCTCCAACATCCCTCTTCCTCTCACATTATGCTTTCCATAAGTAGACATTTAAAATGTATTTTTAGAAAAATGGCTCAAAGCAGTCCATTGCTGCTTGATACAAAATGTTTCTCATTGACGCTAAAAGGTATCCTTCTAGATAGCAGTTTCCATCACTGACATGGTGGTGAAAATAAAGGCCCCAAGATAAGACAAGACTACAATCAAGATGGTATTAAAACAGTGTCTGTGGGGTGTACATGACCTTTCTTCCTGGAAACAGGGGGTAAACCAAGCAGAAAACCATCTTTCAACCTCCAAGACCCATGTGACCAAGTGGGAACGGTCCCTTGCATGGACTCCACTAAGATCACTGAGAATATAACAACTTTCCTGAATGTTCATTTAAACGTGCGGTTTGGGCTAGTTCGTGTTCCTTAGCACACTGAATTTCCCACTATCCCCTGGTCTGCGTGTTCTCCCTTTCATCATCCTTTAGAAAGAAAACTCTTGAGTCCTCATGGACTGAACTGGACAGCTGTGGACGGCTACATACCTCATTTTTATAAAATCTTCACCCGACATCAAAAACAATTCTCTATTTTAGATCCTCTGGAATAGAGTCAAAAGCAAATTCTAGCATTCTGGATGGTAAACCTGAGAGAAGATACGGTAGGTCTCGGCAGAACTAGCGGGGGCAGCCTCTGAAAACGGTATGCTTACCTGTCACAGCCTTCATCGAGGTCTTGACAATCACACAAACAGGCAGCCACGTGGTTCTTTTCCCCATTTCGATCTATATACTCACAGCAGCACAGGGGCTCCAACTCGGGTTCCTCGGTTTTCTTTTTTTTAACTGGCTTCATAGTGCCCTTCAGTGTTTGCACCTGTCACCATGAGAGGCACAAGAAGCTCTCAGAAGGTAAAGGTGGCAAGAACTCAACTCACATCCTGTAAACACATCCTCGCTTGTGATTAACGCCAACGCCTGAGCAATAAAAAAAAAAATAAAATAAAAAATAAATGAAAAGAAAGGGGGGAGGGGTCCTGTTTCCATCAGGTTTTTCTGGCTCCGCATGTCCTGAAAGGGGGCTCCTTGATTCCTGGGGCTATGGGTATCTTCACCTTCCCTTCCCAGCTAGGCTAGCAGCATCTGGGTACCAGCCGTTCCCATGGCGACAGCCGACCACGCGGCCCGGGACAGCAGGGCTAGGGCGGCCCAGTTCACCTGCGGGTGCCGGCTGGGTAGAGCCGGGCGGTCCCCACCCCGAGGCTGCGCGCCGTGGAAACTCACCCTCGCAGGTGCCGGCAAGCGACGCCCCGGCGCTGCGACCATCCACCCGCCCCGGGCTGGCCAGGAGTCCCCGGCAGCCCCGAGATCGCCGTCCAGCCCACTCCGAGCCAGCCGCTCCGAGGGCGTGGGCGGGCCTGGAGAATGACCTTGGCTGAGAAGTTACCTGCCCTCCGACGAAGGCGGGGACCGGGAGGAGGACCGGCTGCTCTGGGCGCGGCTGCGTCTCGGACCCAGCACCGCGGGCTCGGCGGTGCAGGGCGGACTCGCCCACCTGTGTGCACCGCCGGTGTGCGCGCGCCTCTGCCTTCGCGATCCAGTCGCCCCCGGCCGCCGCCGCCGCCGCCGCCGCCGCTCCGCAGGTCGGCGCGCGCTTCCGGGTGCCCCGCCCCCCGGCGCCGGGATCCCGCCGCCCGCCCGCACGTGCGCCGCCTGCCCGCGAGGCCCCTCCCCCGCCGCGCTCCCGGCCACCCGGTACCTGCGCGCCGGGCCCCCCGGGGTGCTGGCAGGGGAAGGGACCAGACCCAGGGGTTCGCGCGCTGCGTGCGTTCGCCGTTCGCCGGCCACCAACCGTTCCCCTGCGCCCGCAACAGGCGTTGGGTTCGATCTGCACCGCCCTGTGCTGGGGTGCCACCCCACAAGTCGCCCACCTGCCCTTTTAGGCCAGCAGCTGCTGCTCCCAGGTCCTGGCTTACCCAACTTGTTCACGCTCTTGAGTCCTGGAGGTTGGGTCTGCCTTCCAGCCAGCCAGGCCTCTCTGGTACTTGTGCTTCAGAAGTCTGCGCATTGGCAATGAAATTGCCCAGAGAGACCTCTCCGGGTTTTATAGCGGCACAAATCTGTGAGAACTGTGGACCTAGATACAGGTTTTCACTACCCCAGGCTTTCTAGGTGTGGTTTGGCTTTTAAGCAGAAACAGAAGGAAAATGGACAACTTAGATATTGGGGATTTTATTGAAGTCAGACTACATAACAGATTCAGATTTTATTAATTCTGCATACACATTTCATCTTTTATCTACAAAGCAACGTTGGTAATCTTTGAGGTATATTATAAAGTAGTTTGAGAGAAACCACAAAAACATTCACTTTGACAGTTAACATTTTTCTAAATTTAATAATTTCAAGTTTCTCATCCAGTCACTCTTGCTCACAGCTAGATACTTCATATGTCCTTAACAAAAAGAAAACAAACGGGCCTTACTACTCTGTACCCTCTTGCAGGTAGATTAGTTGGGATTGGTCCAGAGAAACCCACTTCCCTCTAGTCAGTATTTTCTTTCCTTGCAGGCATCTCAGAAATGTTGTTAGCCATGCCATTTGGCTCTGGTGACACTGGGGAAACATTCCGCTAAAGGTAATGGTTGTTCAAACAAGAAGAATATATGCCCGGGTGGTGGCGCACACCTTTAATCCCAGCAGCACTCAGGAGGCAGAGGCAGGCAGATCTCTGTGAGTGCAAGGCCAGTCTACAAGGCAAGTTCGCCGGAACTACACAGAGACACCCTGTCTCAAAAAACAAACAAACAAACAAAACCATGCAGTATGTGTGCATGATGTGCGTATTCCAAAGAAAGACCTCTAGAGAACCAAACTAAATATGTCCTGAACTTTTCCTAAATGCTGAAGGTTGGAGCTGATTTCAAGTCAGGTCACCAAGTCCTTATTTTCACAAACCTCTTGTGCTGTGATAAATGCCTAAGAAGCTTTCCTGAAAGCCCAAGCTTGTGCCTCATAACTTCAGTGTGCATGTACCCTACAGGCTTTATTGTGGAGCCTAGCTTATAATTTGCCAACAAGACAAGCTACACACATGTGTAAAGAATGAAAAATGATAGATTGTTTTCAATCAGATGGGTCACTTCCACCATGGGCACTGCTAAGCTGAATCCAAGCAGAGTCCATGGATTCATCTGACCCTTCATGAAATGCCCAGATTTTATCATAATCTTCTGGCTTCTAAAACTAAAAAGAGTTCATTCTGAGCATTGGTATCCTACACACTGCCTTCTCCTAAATTACTGTCCTGTTTGATATATGAAGAATAATCTCACCTTTGGTACATATAAGGGGTGTGTGTGTATTCCTTCAGTAAGATACAGCATGGCCAATGAATCTTTCAGACAACACAGAGGTTCAAAGGGTTTGACCACTGACCTTGAATGCCAGATCCATGAAGAGACTTAAAGATACAAACCTGGAATGTACGTGCCTAGAAACTGACCCTCTAAAGTGAGAAATGATTGAGGGGTTTCTTCTTTAGCTTTTTAGGCTCTTAAACGCAGCAATGAACACAGCCCACAGGGCACACAGGGAGTCTGTGCTAACAGATAAATTTAAAGGGTCAAGTTACAAGCCTCAGTATAGAAGAAAAGCCACCATGTGCAGGGTGGCTCCCTTCCCCTTTTGTGGCACAGGACTTCAATTCTAAAATATATTTCATGGTTCACTGGAGAAATTCACAGCTTAAAAATATCTATAAGAAGTGAAAAGACAGAGTCTTAAGGCTATTGGAGGGTAATCACCAAGTAAATGTTATTTAAATAAGTTCTCCTAGTAGAAATCCGGCAATAAAAATATCAGAAATGTTCCTATGACGGTGACAGTTTTCGTGCTCGATTTCCTTCCAGATGTTGTCTTCTAGGTCCAGGTGTCTCTTTGATTGCTCATCTCAACACTAGCTCTCCACAGCCACCCCGGTCTTGTTCCTATTTAGTAAGTCAAAGGTTTTCTGAAGCATAAGGAGTGAACTCTTCAGCTGTAAACAAAAGGGTCGAAAATCAGACTTCAATTCGTACTGGTTACTTTACTCCAAAAGTAAAACACTGACCACCAGATGCCTGATTCTCCTGTATCTGCTGCGTGAATTCTACAGCGTGCTTACCAGGTGCTGGAAGGCTGCGCTTTCCAGGGAGTCCATCTAATTATCCAAAGGGAAAGGTTTGTTTTCTTAGAGGTTTCTCAAGGCTCAGCGGTCTCTTCACTCTCCCTCCCCTGAACACCTCGAGCCCCGCAGCTAAGCCACATCTTCCTAATCCATCCAGCATCCCCCTCACTGTTCTAACCCTTACCTATACCTGCCGGCCCCATATAACCTTCCCCGAAGACCCTGCCTCTGGACTCCGGGAGTGCTACCCTACTTCCCACTTCTATCCTACTTAACTTTGTACTTTCCAAAACAGATTTGACAACCTATTGGACACTTGACTTCTCTGATAAGACTGGAAGCAACGTGAGACCAAGAAATGTATCTTCTTCCTTACTGTATTCGTTCATCTGTTCAACAAACCTGGTGTATCTGTTTCATGCTGGGCCCTGTGCTAAACATGGAGCACACAATGCTGAGCCAAAATGTTCCTGGAACTAGTCACAGAGAACACAGGGTTGAAGGATAGGATAATTTATAGGTATGGTTATAGAAGAAGAACAGAAGGTTTCTCTTCTCTATAAGGCCTGGTCAACCACTGAGAGGATGATAAAGTGGGAGGAGAGAGTTACTAAGCAACTGCGGAGAAGGTACATCTAAAGAGGACCAGCTGAGGACCTGCCCATTCACACCCCTGGGGTGTGAACAGCAGACTGGCCTACCTGTTCCAACATCACTATGGAATCTTGGAGCACTCCTTTTAAACGGTGGGCCTGATCTTTGTTCTTTTGAATATTTTCTGTTCTTGAGAACCTATCAGAGGCTAAACTGGAAGAAAAGAAAATCTTAAAAATCATGAAAATAGCTTATTATTTACAGAAATTATTGTGCCCCGTGGATTGCAAACAAAACACAAAAATCAAACCCCGCCACCACCACCCCTGCACAAAATAAAAAATAAAAAAATAAAACGAAGCATGTATGACTACAAGATATAGCAGACCAGAATTTCTAAAATTAAATTTTCTATGACGAAGAAACAGGTGGTGGAAACAGCCCGGGCTGGGGTGGGGTGCTTACTTTAAAGATTTCTCTTCTTGGAGATGGAGCCGGTAGAAGGACTGAGCGGCGTGTTCTATCTTTGACAACTTCAGAAACAGCGTCATGTTCAGCAGAACTAGCAAGAGCAAACTGTGCAGAGGAGATGGCAGCTGGTTAACCTGCACTGACCTGCTGCAGGCCTCTCTGCAGAGGTAGCCCAGCTCCCAGAGAGGGCAGGGGCAGGAGGAGCTATGGTGATTCAAGACCACAAGGCAGCTTGGTCTACAAAGCCAGACCCCACCCCAACACTCTCCTCTACCACCCAAAATGAAGGAAGTAAAATAACGTATATGCAAAAGCTCCCAACTGTATATGATCTAGACCACTTTCTCGTTACTTAAATAAATTATCCCCATTTCATCATATAAAATAATTACCTTCAAATATTACATGGGTGTCAAAGACAATGATGGAAAATGACTAGTGTGATAAGAAAAGTCCTTGAACAACCTCAGCTCACTGGTTGCCTCTGACCCCTGTCCTCGAATCCCAGCCAGGGTTGTGCAACCCAGTTTAGAAATCTACCAGGTAAGCTTCCAGGGTCTATTTTTGGGTTATGTTGGCTTAAGCAATTATACACCATAATACTGCATTTTAAAAATGAAATGAAGATCAATATGCAGCTGATTTTAGGGACATCACAATGTTATCTTTTATTCCCAGTGGAAGCAAAAAAGTTGCATATATATATATATATATATATATATATATATATATATATATATATATTCAGCAAGACTCCTTGTTAATCTTGAACAAAGGAAGTACCAGATAAATCCAAATATATATTAATAATGGTAAATATAAAATTTTACATGCAAAAGTAATGTTTTGTTTTTAACAGCAGACTTTCAAATTAATCCAGACCTCATTCCACATGTATACAAACTGATAAGTAGTATCATATGTCTTTACTTATTTTATTTTGTTAAAAGATTTACCTGCCTCAAATTAGACCTATTGGGTCTGAGGATATAGCTCAGTGACAGAGTTCTTACTTAGCATGAACAGAACCCTGGGTTTGATTCCAAGCAGCACAGAAGATGGAAAAGTATATAGATACATATGGTGTATGAAAAAACTAAAAGTAACAAGAAAATCAAGTCTGTAAAATTATCATGGCACTGAAGTGATACACACATACACACTTCCATATTTGAATGTAAATGTATTTTCCTGCAAAGTAATATAATGATATTTGTCATCCAATAAACTGACTTAATTAGAATCTGAAAACCATTTCTAAAACTCAAAGGGAGATCTGAGAGCAGTGGTGTATGCAGACTGTCCCAGCCTAAAGGAAGTTGAGGCAGGA